TGCTTGTCGCAAGTATGGCCTTGTATGCGAGAACACGAGAAAAGTAACAGACTACAAAGAAATGTAGGCCAGGAACTAAATCTGCGAAATATGCATTAAAGTTTCATGGGATAAGTATTTAAAAATATCACGTTGTCCGCGACCCGCTACCTGATATATTTGTGATTTTCGTCTTAATCTTTTTTGCTACTTTCCGTTCTCCATACAGCTCTCTATTTTAATTCTTATAATATTGCCTTATTAATTTAAAAATATTGCCTAAATTATTCTAAAGAATAATTTAAACCTTTTCAAGAATAGGCTAAACCTTTTCAAGAATATTTCGAAAGGTAAATTATTTCCATTTAAATTTTATTATTTTTAATATAAATTTCATGTGCTATTATTTCCGATCATTTAATTTCTCTCAATTTTTCAATTCAATCCGACAATTCTTGAGTATTTGCAATGTTCCAGGGATGTGCTATCAAATCATAACCAAATAGTTAGGTAACGAGATACAAACAGTGCGTCTATGGTGAACGAGGAGGAAAATATCACAGCGAGAGGTAAAGGAAGGTTGAGGAGAAGTGCAATGAATGAAGTTGTTGTAGTACCAGTGTACAAACCAGAAACCAGAATCCTCAAAGCAATCATATATCCACAATATATATGTCATAATTATAAATATTACACATTTTTCCAAATCTCACAAATGCTAAAAATAGAATTTAAAAAATGCAATAATTTCGTAATTAAATAGAAATCATATATGTATAATATATCCCTATATTTCAGAAAATCTTGTATTATATATTTAAAATACAAGATTCTCTTAAATCCTTTCCTTAAAAAAAATATATATATTTATAATTATATATATTTATATAATATATAATATATATTTATAATTATATAATTTATAATTACATAATTATATAATATATATTTATAATTATATAATTGAAAAATATCCGTAAATATATTTAGAGGATTTTTGAAAGAAAGGATTTAAGAAGAATCTTCTATTCTATATATATCATACAAGATTTTCTTAAATAAAATCTCTCCTTCAAAAATCTTCTAAATATATTACGGATATTTCAAATGGCAAACATTTGCATTTAAAAATACCGGCATAAATAGTCTAAATTATAGATGCGAAATGTCTTATATTATCGTCACAGCCTTTCTCTCTGAATCATCTCCGCGAAAGTAAAAGTTGCAAGTTGGCGATGCGTCTGTACGCGCGGCAACGTAAACGGTTAGCTTGCGAAAAGAACAATGCGGCAAAGTTTCGCGAGAAAAAAAAAGGGGTTGCGGTAAAAAAAAATTCCCGTACCCCTCGCGCGGGGCGGGGGAGGGAAAAGATTAAATTCTCCGAAGGAGAGAGAGACCGAGGGAGCGTTTTCAGCTATTTCCTATCTCTTCGTATCTTGGTTGCTTCTTCGCCTCGAGGCGTACCGCTACTTTCCGACGTTCGCCCGGCTTTTCCTTACCCTGTCCCAGAGTTTTAGGTCACGCGACCAGTCTCTCTCTCCGAGACTCGGCCCTTTTTGCGACTGTAAATTCCTCGATGTCGGGTTAAAAGGGGCCAAAACGTTCGCGGTTGAGCGAGTGAGTAAGCGGCGGTGGTTTCTTCTCCCCCCCGTACTGTGTTAGTTGAACGGAAATACTTCCGGAAATCTTTTTGTTCTCCGGTCTTGCTTGATACGCGAACTCTCGATGACGGCGCACGCTCTTTTGCCGATACCGGGTCTCCGGGAGTCGCTCTCGGCTGCGCCAAAACGGCTTTTTCCACTCTGTTTGTAATTTAATCGCCGTAAAAATCGCTAAATCTCGTCCGAACGCGCTTCTCAGGAACATCGGTTGCGTCATTACGTGCTTTTTTTGTGAAACGTATGTAACTGAAAGCCCCAGCGTCCAGCGTGTGTAACCAAAGAAGGCCAGTGATATTTAAATTTTTCTCTTTAGCATAACGTCAGATGGAATTACTCGCTTTCAAGCGTAACTTTGCGCGACACGCTGAAAAAAAGGACATTCTAGATCAGTTGACTGAAAATGTACTTGGTAAACTTTAATTGGAATATTCGCGAGAAACGGATCGTTCATTAGCTCTTATATATAAATGTCTTTCTTATATATAAATAATAGAGATACCTTTAAAATAATTTTCCAATACGGTTGAATATTAGATGCAGCGCGCAGATATTATTATTTTGCAAATTTAAATTCCTAAATATTTTTCTGTTTCAATATTTGAAACTGAATTATAGAAAATCTTTTTAGTAAATATATAGAAAAATAAAACGCACATTTATATAATGTAATAAGTGTGAATTATGCCGAGATAACGAGTATTAAAGAAATAGAGTTGAATACATCAGATGAAAAATAATAGGATTGCAATATATTGTAGCATACGCCTATTCAAAGATGAAAGGCACGGATTATAATAAATAAATAAATAAATAAGTAATAAAATAAATATAATATAAATGAATATAATAAATAAATAATAAAATAAATATAATGTACATCTAAATATAATGTACGTTTTTACATAATCTTTAACAATTTTTTTAAACCGATTTCTTTGTAATTAAGTATCTCGAGACGTTTTATCGTGTTGTTTTGCCATGCTAATTAGAAAGAGATGACGGAATCGTCGCCGATAATCACACAAATTGCACGGATTATAATAAATAAATAAGTAATAAAATAAATATAATGTACGTTTTTACATAATCTTTAACAGCTTTTTTAAGCCGATATTTCTTTGTAATTAGGTATCTCGAGACGTTTTATCGTGTTGTTTTGCCATGCTAATTAGAAAGAGATGACGGAATCGTCGCCGATAATCACACAAATTGCACGGATTATAATAAATAAATAAGTAATAAAATAAATATAATGTACGTTTTTACATAATCTTTAACAACTTTTTTAAGCCGATATTTCTTTGTAATTATCTCGAGAAGTTTCGTCGTGTTTGTTTTGCCATGCCAATTAAGAAGAGATGACGGAATCGTCGCCGATAATCATGCAAATTGCACGGATTGCGTAACGCACGAACACTCCCGTAATACAGAGACGGGAGGGGGAAGATATAGCAAGCTACTTAATGCGGGGCGCGTTCGGGATGAAGATTCTCTAAGAAAGAGGCTCCAACGAGCGTGACTAATGCGCAGATATACGTAAACGTATCTCAGGGAGATGAAGGAGAAGAGGAGAAAAGAAAACGAAGATTCACCCTCGCAACTGCTGACTCTCCTTCGACGAGGCTCTTACTTCCGACGAACGGGGTTGTACTCGGCGAATAGAGGGCACGTTGTGAGAGAGAGAGAGAGAGAGAGAGGCGGCGGGGAAGAGACAGCAGGATGGAAGACCCGCTGTATCCGTCGACAAATACGTCGCGTCGTTCTTCCCTGAAAAAGAAACGAGAATAATAGGCGCGCTGGGAACGAAAGGGGGAGAGGGGGAGGGAAGACAAAAAATGCAAACGCGAGAGAGACGCGTTTTAACATTTTGACTCGTATCATCGCGCATTCGCGACGAAGCCCGATTTTCGCGCGAAGCGAAATAAAAGCGTCTGTAACAATATTATATGTATTAAATCAGTACAATATTCACGTTACTCAAATTTATGCAAATTTATGCGTATAATATGTCTTTATTTTGACAAGGGATTCTGAATTTTCGTCGCAAACGTATATATCGTGTGACGTCAGACCGTTCAAAATCGAACGATTCCTTACCTTGTAAAAATATCCAGGACGATATCGCAATAATAGTTGCCTCTCGACACGATTTGACAAGCCGATTATAGAGACGTGTGATACTTGTTCGAAAGTGTCCGATATTCGTTCGATTGTTTCGCGATATCAAGAAAACACACGCGAGAGAAGGATAAATAATTCAACGTACACCACTGAAACTTTGTCAATATCACCATCGTGAAGTGTGACGCGTAACTAACCTTATGCGCTATCTCGTGGTCAGTTTCGGTATCGATTTCGCGCAGTCGGATACATAATTCGCGCAGTTATCGATATCCCTTGGTAAAGTGTACGTGAAATAAATTATTTCGATTTTATTTAAATTAATTATATATGAAATTAAATAAAATAAATAAAATATTAAATAAAATATTTATTAAATATAAAATTATATATTAAATATAAAATTATAATATAATTATATATTAGATTTTTTATTAAATACTATAAGCTGTGTACAAATTAATGCATATACTTAAGAAGTAAATTTTTAGAATTCTTTCTTCTTTAGTTAGTAACATAAGAAGAAAAAATAAAAACAATTTCTCATGAATAATAATAATTATGTTTCATTGATAAAATCGAAAAAAAAATCTATGAGAGAAATAAAAACCTGGGGTAACATTTTACGTGGCACAAAAGTAAATAAACAAATATAGCAAGTACAAATAAATGATTACAATTATTTAATTATTTTTTCTCGCGGGTTATTTTGCAAGAAATTTAAAGTCATGTTTCTCTCTCTTTTTCATCATTATAAATATAAAATTATATATTAGATTTTTTATTAAATACTATACGCCGTGTACAAATTAATGCATATACTTAATAAGTAAATTTTTAGAATTCTTTCTTCTTTAGTCAGTAACATAAGAAGAAAAAATTAAAAAAATTTCTCGTGAATAATAATAATTACGTTTCATTGATAAAATAAAAAAAAAACCCACGAGAGAAATAAGAACCTGGGATAACATTTTACGTGGCACAAAAGTAAACAAATATAGCAAGTACAAATAAATGATTACAATTATTTAATTCTTTTATCTCGCAGGTTATTTTGCGAGAAATTTAAAGTCACGTTTCTCTCTCTTTTTCATCATTATAAATATGTACCTGTCATTCCGTTTAAATTCCCTTATCTCTCGCGTGATTACCATTCGTTACAACTGCGTAATAAAACTGATAATAAATCCCGACGACAAGACAGACGCGGCCGATACGATATCGGGCGAATCGTCCGATTTATTTGAAAGTACACGATGCAGACGTATGTTAAGAGCCAGCTTCCGTCTGCTTGCGCGCGTTCCTGACAAGTGACGTTGACTTGGCGCACGTCGAGATTCGGTATGACTCGATAGGGCGCGTATCGCGGCTGGGGGCGTTTTATTGGAGTGCACGAATGCGTTTGGAGTGTGTGCGCTCCTTACGAGGCCGCGTTGCGTGTTGGATGGAGTGCGGGATACGATTTCGCCGATCTAGCGGCTTTATCATAATCGTCCCGAGATCGACCAATCGATAAGCCCGACACCGACACCGTCAGGAATGCGCGATGCGTGTCCCGGCGACGCGAGCGCAATATCCGAAAGTCTCGTGAACGATGTCCGGGTGTCATCAATAATAATAATACGCAGCGGAATAGACGGGACGCGTTAACGAGACGCGGCTGGGGGGAGGAAGGTATGGAGGGTGTCAACGGTCAGCTGCAGACAAAGTATCAGAAAATTGCCACGGAATACTCGAAAGTGAGCGACATTCTCGTAAGATTGTAACAGATTTTGACAGATTTTCACGATGCACATGGCCGTTTTTCGATGTTTCGCCGCCTGTGTTTTTTGTTTGTTGTACAAAGAGAGTGATCTTATTTGCAGATTCGTGCGCAAGCGAATGTTCTGAAAAAGGCTGTGATAGAGGAACAAGCACGTAACACGGATATTCGGAATCATTTGAAGGAGAGGGAAGTGGAGCTTCGTAGAGCCGAGCAGGAAATAGATAGTTTGACATTTCGTAATCAGCAATTGACAAAGCGTATAACTGTGCTGCAGGAGGAACTTGATAAGGCACAGAACAAGTCTAAGAAAGGTAAGAGCAAAGTGCCGGAAAACAATAGTCAAATTCCTCCACCGCCGCCAAACAATATCTTAGACGAAGAATTTCAGAAGAAGATAGTGGAGAATGCTCAATTATTATCACAGATTAGTGATAAAGATAGCGAAATTGAAAGTTTGTACGAGAGAATACAACAGTTAGAATACAAAGTCGATTATAGCGAAAAGTCTAAAGTAGAATCAGAGTGTCAGTTTCAAAGCACTATAGATAAGTTAGAAAGAGAGAGAAATGACTTGCAGAGGAAATTAAATGATAAACAGAAACAGGAAGAGACTGTATCGTGGTCCAGTAATGAAGGTAGACGCGATGGCTTCGATTTTGATGCCAGAGGAATACTCTCAAATCATCGTCAAACGGAGCCATCGCCGTTCTCTTCGCCATCTGCTTCGCGTAGATCATCGAAATCACTTGGAGAAGGAAAGCCACAAAAGTCGCAAGAAGAAAGTAATGAATTTTTCTATTCAAAATCATGTGATTTAGAAAAAGAAATTAATCACTGGAAAGCTCAATATCATATATTCAAGATAAAATATGATGAATTAGAACAAAAAAAAGCTGGAGCAGCTTGCCAAATTGATAATGACGCATTGAAACCTGTGGAAATATATAATATGGTATTATTATGTATATTCTATTATTTTTAATATATGTATATTTTATTATTTATAGATTATTGACTTGTTGACAGATTGGCAAATTGAGTGCACCTTTTGCGTTACCAGAAGAAATCGAATCTCGTGAATTAAAGATTAGGGATTATTTTTTAGGAGAAATTGAAAGATTAACCAATGAAAAACATGTCTGTCATATAAAAAACCTGGCAATGGCTGCAAATGTAATAAGATATATTTTAAATCTTATTTCTAACGAGTAAACGCATATTTTCTACTTTTTCTCGTGTAATGTTATCTATACACATTTGTTCTTTGTATTTTAGAGCGAAGTTATGCATGTGCAATTAGATACAAGTGAATCCAAGAGAGAGAAATGTGAAACAGCGCTATTAGAAACACTTTCTAATTATAATGGTTTACAAAAGGAAAAAGAAATGCAAGACGGAAATTACAAGATACAGCTCAATACCATGAGCGAACATCTTGCCAACATGAATGAAAAACTTATCTGCCAAACAGAAGAGATACAGCAATTGAAATTTGAACTAGCTAATAAGGTATAAATGTGTATACAAGATAAACAGGATGTAATCTTGTAATAGCATTTAATGAAAGATGTAATTTTTCAGAATAGTAAGAAAGGAAAACAAAAGTGATCCAGATCAGAATTGCAAAGAACAATCATTGACATTCCATCAGCACAGTATGATTTAATCGATCATCGATAAATATAATTATGTATATATATATATATATATATATATATATATATATATATATATATACATATATATACAGCTCGTATCTATTAAAGCAGAGATTTATGAATTTTTGTGCATACTTCATATCTTCAGCTCGCACGATAAAGAGCTCTCTAACTCGATGTTACATTATTTATGAAATCAAAATAAAATTTTACTGATGATGTTCTTTTTATAAATGCTTATAAGTCTAACTTTACTTTTATGTTAAATATGTACAACGATTATTCTTATTTGCTCATACTTATTTACAGTAATCAACTGATATAGAATAATTTATACAATCTAAATTATTAATAATAAAAATATTATTATATATATTTATATATTAGTATCACTTGTACAAGACAGGCATGTGTAAACTGACACCTGCCATTGTAAATTGCAATCTATTCTTCATTGTATTAAAAGAGATATGAGAAATATGTACAGCTACTGTTTATAGTAGGTGTTGTGATAAAATTAATGTAAGCCAAAGCAATTGTGTTGCTTTGTGTTAATTATATAAATAAAATATAATTCTTATCTGATTATAAATCTTATCTGTCAGTAACATGGAAATTTAAATTTACATTATGTTATAAATTAATTCTTTTATGAAATAATGTAATATAAATAAATACATTTATAATAATTTATTCCATTTTAATAGCAAAGCTAGCACCACAACTACATCCTTTTTCAGCTAGTGGATTATTTGTTATCCTAAAGGCAGATCGTATCAATTCTGTATGGTATTCTATTGTTGATCCCTTCACATATTCTAATGATGTCGAATCTATAATTACTTTAGTACCATCCTTTTGAAATACTCTGTAATGCAAAACATGATATTTCTATAATATTAATCATCATTATTTATACATTAGATATTTGTGATACATACTTGTCATCTTCTTGTATGTTTGGATCTAGATCAAATTTGTATTGAAATCCGGAACAACCACCACCTTCCACTACAACTCTCAAATATGTACCATCGCTTGCTATTTCCTTTAAGCGCTTTACGCAACTCTCACTGATAATTAAATCGTCTTCAGCTTTGACAGCAACATTTGTTGACGTTTCTCGAGATGATCTGACTATAGATATATTGTACCATGGACTATAAATATATCATAGTTTGTTTAATATTAATATTATATATAAAAATATATATATATATATATATATATATTATGATTGTTTTTAATTTAATATTAGTCATACACACAATATTAGTTATACACACACACACACACACATGTATATGTGTATGTGTGTGTACTTTTTTATTTATCATTTTTATTAGAATGATATATATATATATATAATTGCAAATATTGTGTCATGTTTCCGAAGCATATATAAAATATAGAGAATTAAATATTATGTAAAACTATTTTGCGGTATGTGAAATTAAATATATGGCCACGAAAAAATTTAACTTACGTCAATAATCGAGAAAAATATCGATTTGCAGCAAAATTTGAAGACAAACCCCACACAACATGCGTCAATTTCGCCATGTTTCCGACATCAGCTGTTGAGTTTGTTCTAAATTTTGCCACTTATCCGCAAGCAGAGGTTTTCTGTGAGCATCCCATTTCGAATCACATTGCAAACGGCCACAGCCAATCGTATCATTGCCTGGAACAATTGGCCAATCAGGAATTCCTATTTTGAATTAACCAATTGGGCAATCAAATTCCACTCGATATTCGAACGAACCATTCGAAACGTATTAATTCCGATAAAACCTACGGCGAGCGTTCTAATTGGACAGTTGGAAAAAGTAAATCTATTATTTATTTTTCGCGCCACTTTCGCGCGCTGACGTTTCGCGTCAATCATTTTTCTCTCCGCGGTTCTTATTTCGACCGAGCACGCTCCGTTAGCGTGAATCGTTGGACAAGTTCCAATTCTATTTTAATCAAGCGCGATATATTTGAATACGCACGCTCAGATCTCATTCGCACTCGACGGATTCAACGTCAAACGTCACGCTTCCAAACTCATTAAGTGACGAATATTTCGTTGATCCAATCTTCACATCATCGAAAGCTTTATTCATAACAATGACATTAATAAGCGAAAATAAATATATAGATTTGAGAAAAATGGCAAGTGAAAAATTAGAGGAGAAGGAAATGAAATAAAAAGCGAGATGGAGAGAGAGCACGGTATCTCGTGAAGGCACCGACTTCCGAGAAAGAAAAAGATAACGAGAGATATTGCGACGATACGTCGCAGAATGGGATGCGAGGTTTCTGAGGTGGTTGGACGACAATCGCGTGACACGAGCATGAAAGAGAGAGGCTAAATATCGAGGAAAAATAAGAGAAAGAGAGAAAGAGAGAGAGAGAGAGAGCGCAGAACAAAGAACGTTACGTCAAGAGAAGAGGAGGGCGACAGCGGCGCGCGAGGGTATATACGATCAGCTGATGAGGCACAACACAACACAAGAAGGCAGTCGGTCGACGAGGTGGAAGGCCAATTGTTTTCTCGTTGCTGCTGTCGTTGTTGGTTATGGCGACGAGTAGCTCTGACGGCTCGTGCACGGCCCCCGCGGACTTTCAGCTCTCGTCCGAGCTGGAGGACGCGTCCAGCCGTCTGAGCATGAATCTACTCAAGTGCCCGTTGTGCCATAACAGCCGCCGGATTTTTTATTGCCGCCAGTGCGTCCAGAACGGCGATTTTATACACTCGAACACCGTCTACTCGGAACGGTGGGTCTCGCTTTTTACGATTTTTCGTGACAAGGCAATTCGTTTTATTCTTTTGCGTCTTTAGAGTTGGGGCGAATTAGCTTCGTGTAATTTTCGGAGCGCGTTTTTGACAATACGGATGATGTATAGTAGCGACGTCGAAGTTTGAAATACGCACTGGCTGCGGTTATAATTATTGATGATGTTATTTAGGTTCGCAGATAAGCAAATGCGACTCGTGCGACTGAAAGCTGCTAGAGCTCAATTGGAGGAAAAGTGCATGAAGGCTCTTGAGAGGCATAAACAAAGAGATAAGCTGGTACTGTATGCAAAAATAAGACGAATGATTAATTAATGTTTTTTTTTATATTTATAAAAGAATGGATTATTGCTTATAGATGTATGCATGTAATTTATTATGTGACCATAAAGAAGTTTCTCAGGCAGTTGATTTTTTTTTAATAATTAACTAAAAGCTGTTACAAGCATTTTTGTCATGTAATTTGAACATATGTTCAAATTACATGACAAAAATGCTTGTAACAGCTTTTGAACATATGTGTATTTATATTTTCGATTGAAACATCTTTTCGATATAACAAAAATTAACTTGGTAATGGAACATTTCATGTGTTAATTGGTTAATTTTAGATTTGTGATATAAACGTATGTAAAGAAAGAGTGAGACTACTTCAGTCTCTGGTAAATGAGACAAGGCAGAGCATCAATAAAGGTGAGTGTCATTAATCGATGATATTTGTGCTAAATATTTGTTGTATTAATTACTTAATTTTCAATTATATTATAGGTAATCAACGTTTGAACATTCTGAAAGATGTCAATTCTCAGTTGACTCTACGAGTGCCAAGGCATGAGGACAGAATAGAAAAACTACATCGCTATGTTAATGGTTTGAAAGTTAAACAGGAAAAACAGAAAGAAGCTGTGGACAGAAAAAGGGAGCAACTAAAGAAAGTTATCAGAACTGCTGCCAAGCAATTAATTCAATACATTTTCCCATTATCTAAAGTCCAACCAAATAAAAGGTATATTTAAAGTCCACTTAAACAAAAAATATATTCTTTTGAAATATATGTTAATGTTATAAATTTTGTTTATAGTTTGTGCAGCAGCGAAGATAGTGACAGTACCACTTCAGACATTGTTACTAGTGCATTAGCAGATGCATCAGGTACATCATACGTACGCGGTAGATGGATAAGTGAGAAAGAGAATTCTTTAGAAATCCATCATTGTATAGTTGAACCAACGTTGCCAGCAACGGGAGATTATAGTGCTTATTCTCTTTGGGGTAATTTTGTGATTATTTCTGATGATTAATGACATTGCACATAAATGTAAATATATTCTTTAGTTGCAGCAAATAAAGATGGTGTGCCAGGTGGAAATAAAGAAAATGCGATGCACAATCCAGCATATAATATTAGTGCTGCTTTAACTTATGCTACACAATTGGTTAATGTTCTTGCCTATTATGTTAATGTAAAATTACCGTACAAAGTTACTTGTGGGTATGTATTAAAAGAATTATAAGAATTGTATAAGCTGCTTGCATATATGTATATATATTTTTTTTCATTTGTGTGAACATTCATTAGTATTGAACGCTTTTTTATCCAGATATCAATTTTTTATCAGACACACCCAACATGAAATTTTTATCAGTATGGAAAAATACTGATTTAATACTGATATATTTAAATATTTACAACATCGGCAAACTTTTCTTCATCTCTACATTATGTTTTTTCAGAGAGTTTTGTGGAAATGAATTGTCGGACCAAAAATTTGCTAGAAAAGTAGCAAGGCTAAATAGTAATGTATTACATTTATGTTTTACACAAAACACTGATATAGAAGTTTTACATCCCATGCATACATTGCAAAACTTGATGCATTTGCTCAATACCGAAATTAGTGATCTGGGAAGGTAATCTATAATAATAATTTTATTTTATCCTTAAAAATAAAGCAACACAAGTTTATAAATGTTTACTAATCGCGATATGTTCATGTACTATATATTAGAGTTGGACCAATGGAAGTTGATCCATCCATAATAGCACAACTTCATAGTCAATTAATTCCTGATTTGGAGAATAGTGATGACTCAGCTTCTGATGAAGAAGATTTATGTTGGGGATGGGAAGCTGTAAGTCATACTTCTGTAAGTTATATACATGTATATAACAGATTGCAATTATAAGATATAATTCTGAAGTATTTTCACGAGATATATTCGTGGCATTATATATATAAACAGGTACCAAGTATCGCTTGTCCCGAAATGGCAGTACCTACTTCTGGTGCAATGGTTAATCAGCAAGCTGCTAGTATGCAAGTGCATCAGAGTGTTGCTGGTGGCTTGGTAACAAGTGCAGCAGCTAGTATCGCCTCGATTTGGCGAGGTTGGACTAATAAATAATTTTTATCTTTCAATCAGTACATATATATAAGCTTTTTTCTGTATATACATTCACATTATATTTTGAATTTTTTAAATCAAAGAGAGAACAGAAATTCTAGGGAAATACTTCAAAACATGATGACGATATTTATATAATATTTATATGTCATGAGAGGAGGCAGATATAATGCAAAAGCAGGATGTAAATATTATACATGACTTTTCCTGACTTACATGTGACATTTAAAGTAGTTCAAATATATGCTGTGACAGATTTTGTTAGATCTGAGATATCTAACTTAATTCAAAACTAAAGTAAATAGAAGAGGATTAGTAAATATATATACGACTGTTTAATATATAAATTTATGGACATTTTATATATTTCAATGCACCACAAATATAATAGTTTAGATTGTGATATATTAAAGTGGATGTTTATGGTCTATACAAAACAGGATGCATATTAATTAGCACAAATATGTACTCTTATAGAATTTGTTATGATAGAATATATGAGAGTGTGCAATGACTGCCTTTTCTATGCTCACCGCATTTGATGTGATTATATATTCATACAAAAGAGATATACTTCCCTATAATGCTTAAAAATATGTTATTAATATATTTTTTATATTTCGGATGACCCGTTTTTAATGTAGCCGATATTGAAATCTATAATAAATAATCCGAGCATCTATGAGATTGTCTCCAGTATTTTGCAATCTTTGGCAGCAGAGAATTTTAATTGCAATAACATATTTGTTACTAAATAATACGAAATAAAAATTAATGTATTTATTTGATATACATCAAATATGAATGCTGAAATATTTGGTTACTGTGGACAACACATCCATTATATTATTTATTATGAGTGATTATTATATAACATTGTTTATATTTTCTACCATTTAGCATAAAAATAAGATTTGTTAAACATTTCATATTTAATAACATAAGTATTATAAAGCATATTATGTTAATTGGATTTGATTACATTAAGTATATTAAAATGAGAGCATAGTGTAAATAGTATTGTGGTCATTGTGGAATATGTAATCATCCACTAGATATTCTAGCACACAATTCTACAAAGTATATAGATAGTTAAAAATACTAAGTTAATTTAGCCCAATTAGTCTACAATAATTCTCTTTTATTTTTATATAATACATTGAATTAAGCTTCATATTTTTTTTAGATAAAGAAATAGTAACTTATATTGGGTTATCCAATATTGCGAAAAGGCCAAGATGAAGATAATTAATTTATTGACAATTGAGAGCAACACAAATATAGGTGTAATCCATTTCCTAATTATGATAAAAATATGCTTTTTATATGCAACATTGATACTATCAACATTTTCAAGTTATTTTTTAAACCATAAAAATGGAAATATATGAAAAAAAAGACATTGCAGATAGATAAATAGACTCATTCGTTACAATATTACAATTTTCTTATGCTTATATCCAATTTTCTAAGTAATGTTATAGAATTTTATAACACAGATAGAAAAGGTATTTTACAAATCACATAATATATTAGAATGTTGACAAATATGAATTTATATATATATAATTTTATTTCTTAATGTAATCACTGCTTGCATATAGCATTAAAAAGGCGTTACCAGAATACATTTCAGAGATTAGATACTAAAATTGGACTAGATAATAGCAAATTTTAAATTACAGCGCAACAATTTAAATCGCACTTTTGTAAATGTACAATAATAAAATATGTTAAAAATAGTATAAGTATATATTGCATATGCATTGTGGATGTGCGTGTGTGATCGAATATATACAATTTTTATCTTATTATCTCATAAAATGGCTATGTTTTATCTGAACAAAGATGCATTGTGATACCTCGAATAAACTAGAATTTGTTCTTTTTTTAATGTTATTGCTGTAAATTTAAGTAATATATCAATATGAATATAAGAAATCTCATACTTTTTAAATATACCAATAATAGTAATATCCATACTATTTTAGAAATCTTTTGTATCTTCTTCAATATTTTGGAATAAATATGTAAAAGTAACATATGTAGTATATTATATTCAATATACATCTGTATAAAATAAATAAAATGCTGTATTACTAAGTACTAATTCACGGTAAATACATAATAAAGTAATAAAGCGCTTGTAAAAAATAGAAATTACTAAACAAATATCTGATATAAAAGGAAAAAGGAATATATAGACATCATTTTTTTTATTTTTATATAAAAAGCGAAAAGTTTATTTTTATTTACGATAGAATTTTTTTTGATTGCATAAGAAGTGAGATACAAATATGATACAGAAAAAATTAACTATGCTCTTTGGAGTTTGTTATGCATACAATTGCGTACAGCAATTAATTGAACATATGTAAATTGATTTCTACAGTTATATAATAAATATTTGCCATGCTTATATATTTAAATTACGCTATGTTTAAGACAAGAGTTTAGACTTTTAAAACAATTGAGAGAATATAAATTGTACATACATATATTTTCACAAAAAGAGAATACATATCAAAATTGGAATAATTTTAATCTTTAATTTTACGGACAATTTCTAATTTAATAATCAAAAGTAACTCTATGTTCATTTGTTATGATCATTTGTTGAGGCTGGATAAAACTTAATAAAAATTAAATACACATATTGAAAATTTTTAAATATTAATATCACTCATATATAAAAGCATTAAAAATTATACATCTGTGAGAGATATATTGAAACAAATTTCTCAAATCTTTTATATTTTTTTGTTAAAGAGAAAAAAAAGTATTTTGTACAATGTACATTTACTAGATGTAATAGTAAGATGATTTTTGAATAATATAAACTATGTTTTATTATTCAATTACCAATTCTGCATAGTCTCTGCATGTAGCACTCCACTATGACTCTCTTGACGATATCTCATTTTCACCACTTTCGGACTGGCCAGTCTATTGCAATTTTACGTGTATGAAATCGTAAACTGTATACACTAACTGCTCTGTGATTTCTGTAAGCATATCATTATATACTATTTTAATTTTTGCACATAGACAACTTTTTGAAGAGATTGAATATGATAAAAATAAGTTAGTTAAACATTATCCGTTTTTAAATATACATATATTTTTCATTCATATTAGATATTTTCAAAAAGAGTAAACTTTGGCAGTGTCATATAGAAAAAATTTGTATGCACAATATCGTAATAGAAAATAAAATTTAACATAAAATCGCGTACACATATCACTTTTTTTACTTATAAAATATTTTTTATTTATAGAACATTATAAAACTTTTTTTATTTATAAAATATAATATAATAATAGAATAAAAATTTTGCTTAATATTTTCAGATTAAGTTTCTTAAGTTTTCAGAATTCTTAATTCTAATTAATATTATCATTACATAATCATGTTGTTTATTAAAAAAGAATCATCTGATTGAAAATAGAATTGAAAATAGAAATTTAAAAAAAGGATTTTTTCTTTGTCAAAGTATAGATCGTCTAACACTTATATGAAGGATTCTAAGAGGTGAGAATTATGAAAAGGCTGTCATTTATCCGGAGTTAAATTCTGCAAATTGCAAAATTTTAGAATCAAACGACTGTATATATAAACATAATTAGGGTAAAAAATGATTGTAATAGTAAGATATTTGATGTTAAAACAATTTCTTGCGACAATAAAATTTATAATTATATATATATATATATATATATATATATATATATATATATATAATATATATGAAATATCAAAATAAATCAGTGTAATCATATAATTATCCAACTATTACAATGTTAATTGAACTTAATTAATACATAATTCTATGTAACAATGAGATTAATAAAATACTACTTTTCGTTTTTATGAAGACATATATTTTACACAACTTTTATTTCAATAGTCCTATTCTGTAGAGTACAAATATATCGAAATATAGTAAATAATATATTAAATAACAAATTAAGCAAGTATATAAATATACTAAGTACAAATCACATAGGTTTCTTTACAGTAAAGAACGTTTGCCATTTCATGTAGTTGTTATCCTTTTAAATTTCATAAAATACTTAGCTCAATAATGTGTATCATATTCAATGTGCAGAATAGGACTATATATGTAAAAAAAAAGTTTATTACTACACAGAAAAAATGATAGCCCATGTTAAAATTCTAATTCAAATTTCTACGAAATAAGTAACTTACATTAATATTGTTAATACTGTGTAAATGATCAATAATTTAGAAAAATTGCTATCAAATTAAGATTGCATATTTTTCCATCAAGTATATTTAATCCTTCATTTAGAAGCATATCTGTATATTTCTACAGATCGTTTGCAATATGAATTGGAAACATATACCATTAATACGGGCGTTATGTCATTGTCACTAGATGAGGCACAAAAGCTCAGCAAAAAGAGAGATACTCAGCTAACAAACTATTTTTTTTTTATAAATTCGTAATCTAGATACTCTATAATGTTTCTAATTAAATTCCAAATGTTTCAGAAAATTATAAAGCTTTACTTATATCTGCAATCCTGTGAAAATCTAATCGTTTAATTTTATATGAAAATTAAGAAATAACAATTTTTTTATCAAGGCGCGAAAATTCGTTGAGCTTTTAACGATGAGCCATCCTATTCGGATAATCCAAGATTGGTTGCTTTTAACGCTAATAATGTTAAATGGGAGATGTTGTTAAATTCGATGAAAATAATTAAATATAGAGATTATCACCTCGATGCGTTTCAGTAACATCCATCTAAGAAGAGTCATCACGTGAAACCTCATGAACTTCCACGCCCTATCAATTAGATGTGAAATAAAAAATTGAAAGTATATCAGCGAGATATAGCTTTACATTTCCATTTTTAGTAAGACATTGTTAGTAAAAATAGAGTTAATTCATTCTTCTGCATAAGATATTTATATATTTTTTATTTCTAATATATATTACTTTAAAACGGTAATAGATATTGTGTGTTAACGTTGTTAGTTTCAGGATATTTCTTTTCATAACTAGAACGGTGATATACTTTGGTACAAGTATATTTCATCGTATGTATGAGGATGGCCTTGATGTATAGTTTCCATTTTTTTTTTCAAAGAATGTGTATTTCTATACCTATATATATATATATATATATATATATATATATATATATATATATATATATATATAGGTAATTATAAAAATCATACATGAATGAGTTAATGATTGATATGCATTATTCTATTTTTTACAAAGCTATTTTTTATTTAAGTATATATTAATGCTAAAACATACGAGATTTATGTTGTTTTTACTACTGATTGAATTGTATACAATATGTTTGATAATACATTTATTACATTTTCGAATTTATGTTACACAATAATTAAACAATAAACATTAATTACAATACATTTTATAAGTTGTTTTTAAATCTATTATTCTATGTATATATTTAATATAAAAGACTAATTAAAGAGACAGAAAACATCCTTTGATCTATCGCAATACGAAATTGCCAAATTATGTAATTTATGAAATACATTATAGGAAACTAGACTCAAGGCCCCCTTGTTAGCTATTATATATATATGTGTATATATATATATATATATATATATATATATATATATATATACACACACACACACACACACACATATATATATATATATATATATATATATATACATATATGTATTTATATTCATCTCTTTTAAATTACTTGAAGAAAATATCAGTACAACACAATTTCTCAGATAGATTTTTTTCTGCATATATACAGGACTGATACTTTTAAAACTAAATGATCAGTTTTCTCCTACTCTTCTCTATTCTGTATGAAAGTGTGTGTACTAGATTGATGGTTTCATAAACATTCAGAACTGATTATAAATGAAGAGTAGGAAACACTGATCACAGAGAAGTATATTCTGAGAGCGCTAATATTTCCTAGATCTACAAAAATATATAATTATATATAGCAATATTATGCACTTTTTATCAACATGGCAAGAGGGTGACAGAAATCTTCTACCAAATTCTTATTAAGTTTTCATAAAAGTCTCGCTTCATCATGTATCACGTATGTATTGTAATACAGAAGTTTTTGTACACGTTGTTGAGGAAAGTACATTCTTGATAATGTTAAATTTGGTTCGCATATGTGAAAGAGCTATTCAAGCAGTATAAAATGTATAGTAGTTATTCTATTGTGCAAATTTTACAGTGATTAAATATTTACGGGGATACCGTACTTTTAAAGTATCTTTAAATAAATGCATACATAGTAACATATTATGCTCTCTACACCTTTTTTTACATATTTATATTTTAAAAAAACACACTTACACCTTCATTATTTTCTATATCATCTAATTTTCCATTTTTATTTCAGTACATCTAATTTTTAATATAGCATCTGTTTAACCCTCTGTGCTTATAACTGTATAATATACAAATACTTTACTCCCTGATTAAAAAAGAAATTTATAAAATCCACAGCAATAGTGATAATATATAAAAAAGAAAATAGTTAAATGATGAAAAAAGGTCATTGACCAATTGGGATTACATGTAAACGATATAATCTACTTTACATTTTCTCTTGAAATATCCCATCAGTTATAAAAACATTTTCGTGTATCTGCATATAAGATGTTTTGTTTATTTGACACATTCATGCTCTAAATAAAATATAATTCAGAATAATATAGCGTGGATTAAAATTAAATACAAAGATAGACATTTATAATTATTCTTAGTCCCCTGTAATTGATATTTTACTTGTACTATTATTCCATTAAAATTATTAACTGGCTTAATTTGCAAATCAATAATTTGCATAAAGTAATAGAACTTAGTTAAGTAAGCATGTTCACTATCAATGCAGAACTTTAAGTTTCAGCCATATATATATTTCTTCCTCTAACATAATTAAACTTCATAATCTTTGAAAGAAAAAAATATATCCTTTAGATAAATATATACTCCCAGAAATTGTTTTTTAACGGTTGTTGCAATTATTAAAGTACTTACAAAGTACTTACAAAGGATAAGAAAATTTTTATGTATATAGCATGAGTCTCTTTATAAACAATATGGATAAAAACACTCTTACAAAAAAGTTAGTATATGTAATATTTCATAAAAATTTACTGAATATTTAATTGATTTACTCGCTAATTTATGTTGCCAATCGTGGTTTACTTTAAGGATCTATTAATTATATGCCTTATCACAAACTTAGTTCTTTCAAGACTCACGACTTTATAGAATAACATTGTAATTTTTTTTTCTTTAACATTGATAGGATTTCCTTATGGATTACTATTCAAATAAATGTGTTCTCGATAAGTTCTCTGCATCTTTATATGAATATGGGACATGTCTTATTATTATGTAATTGTACATTTGATGCAGTATAGAAAAAGATCTCGAGGGTTAGTTATGTCAAAGGGATGTATCCAACACTTACACTATACGCTTTGCTGGGACATAATTCTCGAAACACTTTCTCGATGAAGGGTTGCCTGCAAAAAACAAAAATGAGATTATGTCATTTTATGTTATAAAATCTCTAAAATCGCGTATAGTACTTGTAAAGTACTAATATATACATTCAAGTACATTGAGACAAGGTCAAATATAAAATTATTAGACTCATACGACAGAAATCTAATTATATTCTGGAATCTAGCCAAATTGGTAGAAGACCGTTTATTCTGTTATATTTAATAGTAGCAACGCTAACGTTAGTCGCAACGCTAGTGATCTCAAAAAGAGAGTAAAAAAATTCATTTTTTTATATAAAAATGTGTGTATCTAGGCTATATGTGTATGTATTTGAATGCTATACATATATACATGTGTGTGTGTGTGTATGTGTGTGTGTATTGAGTTCTTAAAAATAATTAATAATATATGTGTCTGTATATGGATATAAATTATGTAAGTATAATTCATTTTTTATATTATTTAAATTATAAATTAAATTATAAATTTTAATTATAAATTAAAATTATAGTTTTAATTATATGTGTAAAAAACTAACACTTAACACTTATCAATGATTAACTATGTTAAGAGAATTGAATTGATCTCATGAGAATTTGTCATTTAAAAACATTATAATTATATAAATTGTTTTTATAACTATAAAAGTTGTTTTAATGTATTACTCACTTAGCATGAAGACCACCGCCTGGAGGGAGATAAGGAAAATCTTGGTCACTTCCCCTAAGAAGTTCGAGCATTTTTAGATAGTCAAATTCATTCTTATCCTCCTCTTGAGCGACTATTTCTACAAAAACAAAAAAAAAGATATTATATAAGATAATTCTCATCATTAAAAAATATTAAATTTTAAATATAGGATATCACACATAAAATATTAATATACATAATAACATAATAAGGTGTTTCTCTTAGATTATGTGCAATTATGTGCAATTATAGCAGCTGTTATGTAAATATATGCTTAATAAAGTGCGCTTAATATATAGTGAGCATACAATATTTATATTTCAAAAATTTTCTAAATGTAGTAAATTATCTGTTTTCTATTAAAACTGCCATCATTTTACGCATTCATGTGTGATTATAAGTGTGCATTTTTATTTCTATTAATAATATATAGACTTAAAGTACAGAATAAATGGGACAATTTATATAAAAAAATAGCTATGCTTGTATATGTTAATTCTATGATAATACTAATAATAATATTATTGTATAATAACTCTTATACATGCAATTTGTCAAAATGCTTTTAAAAATTATACAATTAACTATCAAATAATTAATAGATATCGAGAAATACAATATAATATGTAAATGTAATGTAATAATGTCATGTACATGCATCTACTTAGGACTGGAAGAGTAAATTATGTACACTACATTTCTTATGGAAATATACTCTTGTCTTAAGTAGATACATTTTACAGTCTAAAGGCTTGTCGATGTATACATTGTCCACCTCTGGAATTGTATCTGTTATTACGGGTATTAGTTAAAAAAAGAAAAAAATTTTTTTTACACAATGTTCCTCCATAAGAAATGCATTGTTATAAAAAAGAGATGTCAAAAGTATATAATATATAAATAATGTTAGAGATTCTCGTAAGAAAATTTGCACCTACCTTATGGTTTAGGTGAACTTTAAAAAAAGGAATACAGAAAACAAGAGGAACAACTTTCTCTTATATATAAAACACAGTTTCTGCTTAAATGTATATATATTTAATTTTAGATTAATTTACCAACTCCAAGGGTGGAACACATCTCTTAGCAATAATAATTTCGCATTATGTATGTTTATTAGTAATTTATTATTATGTTTATTAGTATTTATATTATTTATTATACATGACAAAATAATGTATACTCATTTTGTAGTACAAACTAATTTCTTGTCTTCAAAAGAATTATATGAAACATTTAGTTTGATTATAAATAGAGCGCAAAAATTTGTGTAATTTTACAACAAGCTTTCCTAGAGAATTTTATTGTAAAATTTCACAAATTTTTATGCTTATTCATAAATATAACATTGATGCAACACTTTTAATCAACCATGTATGGAGTAAGTAAAGTTATTATAAAATAGTTTTGATGAAATACTGTAAATACTCTTTTTATGCATATAAATTTGCATTTTTTATATTTTTATATTATCATATATATATATATATATATATATATATATATATATATATTCATGACGTAATTGTACTCATAACTTCAAGGCTTTATAATATTTATGCATTTTTATAGTAATATTAATATTTAGAAAACAAATGTTTCACAATATCGTTTAATGCCATCATTAATAGCTTTCATATTTGTATATATATAGTACTAATTAGTAGATTTGAAACATATGTATGTTACATTAGTCAGGTATGCACAATTTTAATAATATAAGATATTTGAACAAAGATTTCTTTAAGCATATAAATATATAATTGCATCTGTTCTCATATTATATATGTATCATATATTTTAAATATGTAATTTTTTACAAAAATTTGATAAGATATTTATATTGGGAAAGAGATGATAGAAAATTAAAAAATAACAGATGCAACATGATCAAAGTCATTAAGGTAAAACAGATATGCACTTTTTATCAACACACAAGACGATATAAGACATTAACATTATTTTATGAGGGTTTCCTCATGTGGCAGATATATCACTCACACGAGACATTAACTTTATTAATCACAAAGTGCAATGTGTTAAAAAAAGGGAATCACATATCGCGTGGTTATTGTTACATATAGTTGGTGCAACCGATTGTGCAAGCCTTAACATTTATATTTGTTTTAAAATGACCATTAAAGTTAATGTGTGTATCAATATTTTAAAATTCATATTGTTATTACTGCTGTGCATCTTAAAAAGATTGGAAAATATTTTATAACTCTTTTTTATAAAAGATTTGTTTATAATAACTGGTTGCATTTTATGGCACATATATGATATGCAGATTGTAAATCAGATTATTCTAAAAAAATGAAATTTTAATCAAAGACTAGATTAAAGCATCTACAAGAAATTATCCTATATTTGAAATTTTTATATTAATTTTTGGAATACGCCACATATCACCTAAACAAAACAAATTATCAATAATAATTATCAGTGATTTTTTTAAGTAATACTATAATACTAATATTTTTCTGCTAATCTCTAATTTTAAGTATCTACTTATAAATATTTGTAAAATATTGTAATCTATTGCACTATTTAAAATCACTTATTTAATTGTTATAATATATATTGGTCTATCTTTTTAATTTTAATTTTATTAAATTGTATTATTTGCAGCATTACGAATTTCTAAAAATAAGAGGGAATTTATATTGCTAAAAATAGAGTTTTCATGTAACAACTTTCATGATAATGTCTTTACACAATTTTCTTTCTCTTGAAGAAAATCCTTCTTTACAATTTGGCACTAATCAACTTCTTCATGTTCTGCACGTTTCCATTAAATATGCATGAAGAAGAATTTGTCATTATATACTTACATTATATACTAGTAAAGTAAGTATTAATTTATTATATCACGTTTGTGATGTGTATGGCATTGTGATCTTGAATTAATGCAACAACATAAAGAATATAACGAATTGAAATATGGAAAAGTTAAAGAACCTTTAATTCTCCTTGCTATAGCCATTTCCAACTCTGCCTCCTGTCTCTGTGCTTCGGGATTTGGTTTTGGCGCAGCCGGGAACGTCACCAGAACTATACTCATATTATCTCTGCTACCCTGTAATTAAATTTCAGATTTGCTCAAATATAGCCTTGTATAAGAAACTTTGTAATTGTTAAAAAAAAAAAAATATTGTAATGCAATATTTATCTTTTGTATAAAATCGCAATTCAAAAATCGCAATTGTAATAAAAATATGGATTAGTGTATAGCGCATACTAGATAAAGAAAAATAAGAGTCTGTGCTGTTTGATATATAATTCAAATGTATCAATTATTCGATTATTTGAAAGCACACACAAAAAAATCTTGACATATATTTAAAAATAAATTTATTTAAAAATAAATTGATTTAACAGAATAGCATGCTACTTTAATTACACAAATTAATAATTAATATATAAAATATATAAAACATAATTATATACCTTATAAAGACAGGTGTCTACAACCAGATTGGTAACTGCTTCTAAATCATCAGTTAGTAGCAGTCTCGAATGTATAAAATTACATAAATCTTCGTTGTTCATTACATCCCAAATGCCATCACATGCTAAAACTAAAAACTCGTCGTGTTCATCGTCCCTGTCTCGCACGAATATTTCGGGTTCCGGCGACACTAACTGCTCACAAGGGCCTCGATCTTTTAAATTTTTGTACTCGTAATCACCCAACGCTCGGGAAACAGCCAGAGATCCGTTAACTCTTTGGATCATTACACTACCACCTGCGTTCTGAATTCTCTCCTTTTCGGCAGGTAAGACGGGCTTGTGATCCCGCGTCGAAAAGACTGGAATTCCCGATCTACAGAGTACGGCTCGGGAGTCGCCGCAGTTGGCGATATAAATATTTTTGGGTGATATAAATGCACACACCGCGGTAGAACCGGACTTGTCCGTGCCAGCACACATCTCGGGCAAATCTCTCATTTCGTCGTCGAGTCTCAGAAACCCGGAATGAATGCCTTGGATAACATCCTCCGCCTTAAATTCCTCCGTTTGCATTATACATTCTAGTAAGTGCTCCGCACTGTGCGCCGATACCAGTGCACCCGCATGGCCGTCGAATACTGCGAAGTAGCTCCAATCTGAAAGACCACCCTCTAAACAGGGAATCGCTCTGTGAGCATCTTCCATTTCCATCCGCCAGCCCTGCATACTGGCGACTCCGTATCGCAAGCCATTGCCAGTACCATGTTCGTTACACTTTTCTGTTTTCGGAGTATCCAAAAATGCCCCCATATTACTTATCAAATATCTGTTGTATTACAATGAACTTGTTCTCTGCTCTATTATTTGATCAGCATCATTCCTAATGATCTTGAAAATGGCACTTGTGTTTTACCTAAAATTAAAAACACAATTATATTATTTACAAATAAAATTGTAAATTCGCCAGTTGCCTTTCCGACAAGATCTCGAGCGGAAAATCAAATAAACTAACTATTACACGTTGCGTGTTTTACAGGATGATCTTGAAAAAGAGATTCGAACGCTGTTCAACGACAACAACAATATATCGATAACGCGGGTCGAGTCAAACTCTATTACGAGTACGAGGTTCAAACGATAAAGGCCGAGGTGAGACGAGTCGACACGCACGCGGCAAGAACATCCGCGTAGACGGCACGGACGCGTTTTTAGAATGTGCGTGCGTGATGCGTGCGTGCATGTCGACGCGCCAGCGTACGTTATCGCCGGTGCGAGCGTACAAATCTATCGCTTACGCCACGCTTACGTCGTCGTAAGCGAGGACAGCGATATACGAGGCCGCGCACGGCTTTCCATTTATTCACTCTATTTGCGCGATATCGCCCGGATATCGGCGGACGGCGCGCAACGTTTCAGGATATCCGAGCCGCTTACTTGGCAGCGCTGAATTTTCGCGACTTAAAATAGTTTACGCCGCTCGCTCGCTCGCTCGCGCGCGAGCGGAGGAGGACTTACGTCGGCGGACCGTGACCGAGTATCATCGTCTCGCTTCAGGTCGCTTCAGGTACTGAACTTGAGGGGCGCGTGCTCCGACAAGCTGCCGCTGCCGCTGATGATGCCACTATCGCTGCCTCGTTGCCGCGATGGTACAACGTCGCAGTAAATCCCTCCCGGAATCCTCTACCACGCTCGCATCGTGTTTTCCTCGAATCGCGCGGATATACGTCGACCGTCACACACCACGTCTCGGCCTCGCTCGTTCCAGTTGGCTCGTCCCTCAGGCTGGCCCGTGCCCGTGCCCGTGCTCGTGCCCGCTGCTGCACACACGGAGAAACAACGAAATCGACTCGCATGAATGGCGGATACACACGGCGGTCGGCGCGGCGCGCATGCGCCGGTTTATTAATAGCGGCCCGCGCGCGGTCGTCACCGCCGGCCAATCGGCGCCGCGCGATTTCCGTTCAAGCCCGGCCCGATATCTCGTTTTACAAGCCACGCCACACACCCGGTGTGATAAAATTAACTCGCGCCGCGCACGATACTAGAATTAACTCGTCGCGAGGGCGATCCATGCCGAGCGTTACGCCGCGATTTCGCGCTCGATCAATTTCGCACAGTCATTTATTCGCACACGGACTCGTTAATTAGCAAACGTCGCGTCACGCGTATATATCGTATAGCCTCGATTCGGCGAGTCGTCGCGCTCCGGAATTTTTCGAAGAATATATTCCCCGCTGTACTTTATACTCGGATCGGTTTATTGATCGGATAATAACCGATGGGAATTCCGCTACGACGAGAACGTCAACGGGTCATTGGATTACACGTTATTACACCTAGATACACTCCATTAATCCGCGTTTGTTGAAGCGTCGCTCGATCCCGTCTATATAAAACGCCGCCTCGTCCGATTGAGGCACGAACTCATTGATCTCGTCGCGCGCGAGCGTCCTCTCGCACGTGAAAATGCGCGCGATGATTCCGAGGAATCTATCGCTCTCGACCTAGTTTCGAATAATTGTGGGAAAGTAGAACGCAACGGCAGAAAGGCCTCTCGAATCTATGGGATTCGGCAAGTTTTCCCTCGCGCGACGCATGCGCGGAAATAAGAGTTAAAAGGCGGTAAATCTCTTGTTTTGACATGTTTTTTTTTTCCTTTATTTTTACATCGCTATCTTGCAGTGCGCTGTGATTGATCGGTGTTTTTCAAATTGTTGGTGAAAAAAGTCGCAAATATGTTCCTATAAAAGAACATGAAATTTGCACAAGAAATTTGTACATCTTTTTTTTTTTTTTTTACAAAAGAGTATTTATACAAAGCTATACAAGATCATTTTTTAATAAGGCAGATTGAAAAGGCAGATCAAAAAAATAATATTTAATCTTTTATAACGCGAAAAGAAGGCGCGGAAGTTATAGAATGTACTTTGTAATTGTTTGTTATAATACTTTGCAATAATCGTTTTATAATAAATAAATAAATACCGCGAAAATATAGGGTGAATTTAAATAATATCTCGCATAGTTCGGTGCATGTTATGCGTACGTGTTACTTCATTTTCGATACAAAGCCGAGATCTCTAGGGACCATAAATTGTTTGATCACGTCATCCGTTATTTTACTTTTCGCTTCTTGATGCGCAGCGACAAGTCGTTGTAATATATCAATCAGCTCCTTCTTCAATTCGCCTGTCAAGATTTCTCCACTAGTGTAATCCTGAAAGTAAACAAAAGATACGTGTTATACATATATCGCGTTGTAATTTTAATTCTAAATTAAGAAATGTGATGAGTAGAGAACTAACTTTTCTGATTTGTTCCAGTCGCTCGTCGTCCTCTAAGAAAAATCGTAGCCACTGATAAGATGTATCCACCTCGCAATTACCACCAAGTTGTCGGTGCTCTTCTATGGTCGCTTGACCACCCGAAAATGCATGCTTGTTAACTTTGTTCTTGATCTGCTTGGCAGTATCTGTGAGAAATATTGCCGTGTTGTTGTCGCTCGCCGACATTTTCGTCTTAGATCCTTGCAATGCTGGGAAAAAGCTTGAGTGAAGCAAGGCCGGCTTGGGAAAACCTAGTTTAGGCGCCACGTCCCTCGTCATACGAAAATACGGGTCTTGATCGATTGCACACGGTATTAGACAATGCACTTTGGCATCCTTGAAGATGAAGGGAAATGAGCTAGAAATAGCCGGCGCCGCTTGTGTCGGTGGAAACGAGATCTTTGCGATTGGATCGCTATCTCCAAATCCGAAAATGCCCTTTACTTGATTGAATGTGACGCATCTTTGTATCCTGATCATATTTTGATAGAATGTTGGATTATTTCCTATGTGTTCCAAGTTTGAGAAGATAAACGTCTTCTCAGGGTTGAAGCCACAAGCGATAATATCTCTAGCATTAGCATAAGCCAGTGTAATGGCATCTTCTATCTTTATATTCTTCCATATAGCTTTCTCATCATCTGTCAACTGTACAACTAAAGGAACATTGAAAACATCTTGCAGCCATTTGCAGAACATAAAGGGTATGAGATGTCCCAGATGCATTGCGTGAGTACTAGGTCCTCTACCTGTGTACAAATAAAAAGGCTTTCCCTGTTCATAGAGATTCAAAATAGTGTGCATATCCCTGTGAGAGAAGAATATTCCTCTTCTGAGAAAGTGATGTGGTTTCTTGCCAGTAATCTTTTCAAATCTAGCTAATAGCTCATCGTCTATCTTCGAGCTTCCGAATTTTCCTGAAAAAACAAGAACACAAAAATAAATATATAAAGAGCAAAAAAATAAATTAGAAAAATAAGGGTCAAAGGCACTTGTCAAAGATATAACCTTCAAGAGGGAAAATCATGGAAAATCCTAAAAATTCGTTTGATTTTCACATTTTCTTCGCATATCTTGTGAGAATAATTATTCAGCAATAAAATACACTGCGCAAAGGGAAACTTACTAATTAACTTGTCGTAATCAATTCCGGAGTCATTATTACTGGTAACTATCCATGGTGTCACAACATCCTCGTCCTCGGTAACGCCGTTTACCGCGTGACCTTGAATCTGCGCATTTTCCGCCGTCATATTTTCCTTAAGGATGTGTGCTCCAGGACGCATGCACTTTCTCCCGGAAAGATTCTTCCTTTCGTCGCTTATGGAACAAATTATCACCGTTTACCACGTTGCAACCTGGAAAAGTCAAGGGCCGGTAGCAATATGGGTATGGAATGATCGTGGGATAAACTCGCGCATGCGCACTAATGCAACTTCATATATACATACTTTACCGTAATAAGAATAGCGTTGCACCCCTTGTGAGCGCCAAGAGATGGGAAATGTCAAAAGGAATAACGTGCACATTTCTACACTAGGTCGAAACAATAAAATGCACTTTTTACAACTTGATGGATAATTTTTTTATCTTATTTAAAAATATAAGAAAATGTTCATTACACTTGTCTGTAGGTGCATCCTGTATTGTACTCGAGCACGAGTCTGCCAAGATCGGTCACCTGGGCGATGACGTTACTCGCGCATGCGCAAAAGGTCCCGCCAGTGACATGCTCTACGATCGTTCCACATGTTTCGATCCTACACGAAATCATGCGTCACCTTGATCTTACCTGATGCGCACGCAATCAAATCGCCGCATTTCAATAAATATCGTAGTTGCTGAAATGATGCAATCGCCTGTATTATTGTCTCATAAAAATCGTGTCCGTTATAAAACGGGCACGGGTTGCAGATTATAACGCACAATCGATGTTGAATAAAAAAATTATCTTTTCCATTATCTTCCCGTCCGTTTTACATCGTAATTTTTTTTAAAAATTGAGAATTTATAGTTCTGTTTGAATATGTATATAATTCGTTGAATACGAGAGGTGTAATCTCGATTTTATTATTTTATATTTTATATTTATATTATTATTTTATATTTTTATTTATATTTTATATTATTATTTTATATTTTATATTATTATTTTATATTTTATATTATTATTTTATATTTTATATTATATTTTATATTTATATTTATATTTTATATTTATATATTATATATTATATTTTATATTTTTGTATATATAATATTGTATATATATATATATATATATCTCACAGCTTTTTTAAATGATTTTTTAATATGCCATTAGAATTCAATTAAATCGATGTGTCATCGTTTCTGACGTCATTTTCGTGAAACACGTACGAGACACTTTCCGGAACTTGACGAATTCCATAAATTTTTGTTTTGACAAAGCGTACGGTTTACGTATCGCAAGCTACTAATGATATCTAATGATGATGTTGCAATCTTATGATGATGTTGCAATCTTATGATACACTGATAAGATACTAAACTTGATTTTAATTCAATGCTTTCTCCATTTTATCTTCTTTTTTCCCTTTCCAAGTTTGAACACGTCTTTATTACATTTTGAAAAGATGAAAGTATAACTAACAATAAAACGAAAATTATTATAAAAATACTTGAAATTATATCTTTTCATATGTAAGATAATTATTCTTCAAATTATTATTCTACATCAATTTCAGTTTTATTTTAAATTATGCTTGCACTACAAGTATACAAAGTTTTACTCAGAATCTATTTAATCCCAAAATATAATACAAGATATATAGTAAGAATACATATTAGGAATAATTTACAAAGATACATTAATAAGATACACATAAAAATAGTTTGTATGATCACTTACTGATTAACTTAATAACTTTATGTATCGCTCTTACTAATTAACTTTATCTCTCAACTATTTCTAAAGGTATCACATTGCAACCTAAGAGACCTTTGCCGACCCAGGGGCGTGGAGTTAATGATAGAACTATGACATTGGATCCACGTTTGATTTTTAGATTAATTACCTTGTATCTGCTATTTTCCACTAATTTTCCAATATCTGTTAAAGATTTAAAGTTTCGGTAATGAATGGATCCAAATTCCAGTATCAGATCTTCAACTTGAATTCCCTGAAAAATCAATAACTTATATTCCTCTTTTAATATATTAAATAATATATATATATATATATATATATATATATATATATATATTTCAGTAGCAAATAAATATATTAAACTCAGTTAAAAATACAAGATTATTAGACTAATATGTATAAGAAAACAATAACATACTGCGATTTCTGCTGGTGAACCAGGTGAAACTAAATTCACTCTAAGGAAAGGTTCCAGCGTTTCTGTCTCCAGACTATCAGATACATTGGGAGTTACAGAGTCTTGTGCTTTACTTCCCTCTGCTAAGGCATGAACTTTATGCAATCCTTCCTCTATCTTTTTCATTAATGCTTTATGATCATTTCTGAGACCTGCCAATGCAACATAATCGAAATAAATAAATAAATAAATAAATAAATAAATATATATATATATATTTATATTTATATTTATACAGAAATCATAATCCAAAACAAATATATTTACGCACATATTATTTTGTGCCTTGCATGCCTCACTTGATAAACATCAATATCTTGTCTGGGATATCCTTCAGAGTCCACCAGTGATTCATCCATGTCAATTTGATTCTGCAATATATTCTGCATATATATCAAAAATATAGAAAGTCTTCAAAAGTTGACAAATCATGCTACAAGATGACCTTGATATTTTCCACGACAATAACATTTCCTTTCAGTATGACGTAAAATATTATATAATACATACGGAATCTAAGAGTTCCTTCAGCGCTTGTAGAGTAGATTCAATTTTTTCTTTATCCTTTATTAATTGAAGAACAGCATCTTTAGCTTCTTGCAGCTCCATGTCGACCACCATTTTTGTTTTGATTGGTAACATGAATCAAGAAAGGTCGAGAAATATACAAGTACGTAATTATATTCTCCGGGCCCTGTTCAATAGCCTAACAAATTTTATAAACAAGACTCAGAAATTATTGTCTTTTGCGATATATTTAGATATCGTTCTTTACGATACTGCAATTCTTAGACCGGTTGCACCAACGTTATTTTAGCTTTAAGCGAGACTTAAATATATGTCTATTATCTTTATCTTTCTTTCTAAATAAATAAAGAAAGACATATATTTAAGTAATATATTTAAGCAGAATTTAAGTTTCGCTTAAAACTAAAATAATGTTGGTGCGACCGGGCTTTAAAGCAAACGATTAGATAGGAAGTTGATGTAAGGGAAAAAGAGAAAGAAAAATTTTTTTTTTGTAAATTTTAAGGATGTTTTGTATGTTTTGTAAGGGGATGTTATATATATATATATATATATATATATATATATATATATATATATAAAATTGGGCTTTGTTTTGGCTAGAAATTTTTTGAGTGCAATTTATTTTCGAACGTAAAGAGGTATCATGAGAAAATTTTTGAATTACATTTAACTAAAAAGTAAAACTCGTTTTTTAACATTTAGTAAATTTTGCTCCAATATTATTTTTTTTTACTTCAGATACGTTTCCCATAAGAATGTTAATTTAAAATTATATTTATTATTATTTTTTATTATTATTTTTATGATTATTTTTTATTATTTTTTATTATTATTTTTATTATTATTTAAAAATTATACTGAAGATTCTAAACATATGTAAGGACATTCTGTACAATTTTCATTAAATTCTCAATATTTTGAAAATAGGTCAAACATCCTTAAGCAATGCTTGAAATTGGAAAAGAATTTTCACATAGTTAGACTCGCGCCAAGTATTAAAATAAAGTGGAAAAAGAAGAGCGTAATTAAACGTACTAATTTTATTATCACGAAGTGAAAAAAATTAACATCCATAAAGTATATTATCTATTCAAATCGCGCGCCTCCCAAGCGCACAAGTTGGCAACAACGCGCGACTAACTTCTCGCGATGCGACAAAGGGACCGCGCTTTATCATTCCCTGCATGGGCTGCATGGTGGTCTCTGCGATTTTGACGCGAGATAGGTCCGAATAAGGGCGATATTCGATCGGCGAAGGTAAAGGTAAAGCGCGAGTGTCGACGCCGAGCATTTTCATCGGCAGCCTTCCAACTTGGAGCGGACGAGTGTGGCGTGCGTGATCGAATCCTGCCAACTATTTCCGGCGGCTTGGCGCCTCCGGTCGCGAGTGACGTTTACTACTCCCCGTGCTCTTCTGGGTGTGTTGCTGCCAGAGTCGGCGGGGCGAGAGGCGAGGGACACGTCTGTCTGTGCACGTCAGCTGGACGAGATTTTGCGTCAGAAGGATAAAGCTGAAGTCGACTGTTGTATCCCGTCGCGAACCAGCGCGAGATTTCGTCATCGTACATATATAACATCATCGGTCTCGTGGCGACTTCCTTTTGAAGTTCTGCGTGACCCTTGGCACTGCTGCTTGCGCCCCGATCCGCGGAAAAGATGGGTTTGACGATCAGCAGCGTGCTCACACGGTTGTTTGGCAAGAAGCAGATGCGGATACTGATGGTGGGTCTGGACGCTGCCGGTAAGACCACTATACTCTACAAGCTAAAACTCGGCGAGATTGTCACCACCATACCCACGATCGGATTCAACGTCGAGACGGTCGAGTATAGAAATATTTGCTTCACCGTGTGGGACGTGGGCGGCCAGGACAAGATCCGGCCACTGTGGAGGCACTACTTCCAAAATACCCAGGGTCTCATCTACGTGGTGGATAGCAACGACCGGGAACGTATCAGCGAGGCGGAACGCGAACTGGCAAACATGTTGAAGGAGGACGAGTTGCGGGAAGCGGTGCTATTGGTGTTTGCCAATAAGCAAGATCTACCCAATGCCATGACCGCTGCCGAGCTTACGGATAAGCTAGGCTTAAATTCATTGCGAGGACGTCACTGGTACATACAGAGTACCTGTGCCACGCAGGGACACGGATTGTACGAGGGTCTCGACTGGTTGAGTAACGAGTTAGCCAAAAAGTGATAGCGCCTCATTGTAATCAGTATCTTTAAGGACAATTTATTCATCGATATGGACGTAGAATGGACAGAAGTCACTCAGCAATTTCCATCTTTGATCAAATTGTATCATCTATAACAGTACAGTAACAATCATGTACAGTTTAACAGTAACAGTTTCTCTATGATTATAATTGCTTACAGAAATTGACGCAAATGCAAACAGAGGAAATTAGAGCGATCTGTCAAAGTTTTTATCTCCTAGGTACAATAAAATTTGTACGAACTGTGTTTCAAAAGCAAAACTTGTTTCATAGAAAAGAAATGTGTGAAAGCATTAGATTATAATATAGATGTTTTTGCATCATTTATAAAAACACATACAGAGGTTGTACATAATTCTAAGTTCCTTTATACATATACTTATGATTAGGTAAATTCTAATTCTACTTTTTGATAAATCGAGTGACATCTCCATCAACAGATTTAATTGCGAAAAATTTATTTATTTACATGTTATATTAGACATATAAAAAAAATTATTGGATGGCAATTTATTTCCTATATCTTAATCTACGTCCATACTATTCATTAGAAATGACATATAATGTATTATGTGATGTTACATATACAGGTCGTTTGCACTCTATCCTGTTCTAACAGATAAGTAAATTTTTGAGATAAATAATTACTAGTTTATAAGGCTTATAGATAAGTACTTGATTAACTTTAATATCGTGAAAAGAAATAAAAATAATGATTTCTGAGCTGCAATTCTCATTTTTAATAAAAATAGACATTTAAAAACTGTAAGCAGCAAGTTTAAAGAGGAGGTCCATTGTCATAATAAACTCTGAAAATATAGAAAGGATATACAAGTTAATCAGTTTTTTCACCTTGTAAAATAAAAAAAAAATGATATCGTTTTCTTTTTTCCATTAGTGTAACAAAAAAAAAGATAGATGGAAAAAGCAGGTTATGAAATATAATAGCACTTGTTTGCTCGCTCATCAAAATTATGTATTGTCGTGTTAAATGAATGTACAACTTTATTACAGTACAAAACAGTACAATAATACTACAAGTACTGTATAATGTATCAAACAATTTGTTAATATGTATGGTGTTATTCTTTCATATACATATATATATACCACAGCAATCTATTCCATCTCTAATACATTCTGAGAAATATATCAAATAAATTATAGAAGGAACTCTTCTATCTTTTTTCTCTTTTTTTTTTTGTACGAACTTTATGTACACAGGATATCTTAAAGTACAGAGCACAGAAATAGACAATCGTTGAAACATTAGTGCGTCTCGTCACTATATATATATGTTTGCATCTCATCATTTACATAACTTTTAATAGACTTATTTGCATTCAGTATATATTATTTTTCATGTAAAGAATTTATTACATAAAAAAGAATATTTCATCACGTTCTCATCACGCCAATTGCATCTCGAAACATGACACCATTAATACAACCGTTCGTAAAACCTCCGATGTACTTATTTTTTCTTTTATCTCAATCGTTTCACAATTTCCTCAACAAGTATTAAATCTATGGCAACTAATTAGCATTAATTTTACGCATAAAAAGTTTCAACGCTAATAAGAATTGATTGACTCCTGGAATAAATATTACGCTCGTATTCTCGCATAAAGATAAAAACTCTCTCGATACAGATTATCTCGAAATGTTGATAAAAATAATAAAAGCGATATATATATTTACAATGTTTCAGCGCTGACAGTTGGCTAGCTCAAGTCTGAGAAACTGACGACGACGGACAAGGGAGTGCAATCGACTCATTTACGTACCCACGTATTTTTGGGCGGTGGTGTGTTACTCTTATTACCCAGCGCCGGAAAGTGATTCTCCAACGTATGACTAGACATATGCATTCTAAAGTCCGTGCCGTTCTTGAGAATCTGGCCGCACGTTGCGCACATCTCCAGTCCCTTCGTTCTGCCGCCAACTTCCTTTTTGTACACCTTGAACAGCTCCTGCTGCTTCACGATATCCGGCAACAGTACCAAAAGTTCGGGGAATACACTCTCGAAAGCATTGGTGCCCATAACTTCGCGACAATGCGTGTAATATTCTTTGGCGTCGCAGGTGCCTGCACGAAAGAGACCGCTCACATAACGGAACTCCTCGATCTTATCTTGCTCGATGAGAACCTCGTTAAGTTTTGCCACCAGGCACGTGTTTCGTTTCTGAAAATCTGGCGGCGACACGTAATAAGCTGGGGCAGCATGCTTGCTATTGTTATCCGGCAAGATAGAGTAGCTCTCGCCAGAGCTGTTTGTAAACGTCAAGCCATTGCTGCCGTGCAACTTGTCGATGCTGTTGTATTTGATGGTGAAACCGGGTGGCGGTAAGGTCGACGAAGCAAAACCCGGAGGTGGATTCGTGAAACCCGGCGGTCTGCTAGTATTGCTGGTGCTACCTAAAGCAGGGAAGTCTTCCGACCGATGGATATTATTATTGGTAGTATTCAAGCTATCTATCTTGAGTTCGCTGCGTTTTCGTTGCTTTTCTCCGTTCGACGCAGCATTGCTTCCACTTTCGGATTCTGTATTGATGACGGCAATGCCGGAATTTCCGTCAACATTGCTTTTACTTTTCCTCTTGTCCTTCTTATTCGCGTGCTCCGACTCCTTCGAGTTTTGTACACTCGTAATCTTGGACGAATTATCGTTGCTTGTAACATTGTTAGAGCCTTGCGTGGTTTGCGAGTTCTCTTTAGATATGACACAGTGGCAATTATCCAAGTCATTGGTATTCGTCAATTCGACTTCTTTCTTTGCCGCATTTACATTTGACTTGGAGCTGTTAGACTCATTTCCGCTCGAGCTGTTACCATTTGAAGCCTGTTTCGCTTTTTTCTTTTTCGTTTTGCCCTTCGTCTGATCCATCGTTTTGGCATTGTTGCTAGAATTCTGCGAATTTTGTCCCCACGATGGTACCACCGTGATTATCGATTGCTTTTTCGATTTCGATTTAGGAGTTAAACTAGGAAAATCTTCGCCGGATTGAATAGGCGGTGGCGATGGTATCGAAGGCGGCGGCGCGACTCTCTTGGACTTCGCTGGTGCGTTCGCTGGTGTCGATTTTGAACAGGTCCACTGAAGGACTTCTTTCCATTGAGTCGAATTGGCAGTACTGGTAGACGGCTCGGTACTACCCAAGGCTGGGAAATCGGAATCTATCGACAATTGTGCGGGACGTATCCTAATATTGGGTCCAGACACTCTGGTGGTAACGATGCCGTTTGGCTCGTGGTTTACCTGAATAGAAACGTTCGAAGATGCGGAAGCTTTCTGACACTGTGCCATGCCGCTGGATCCCGAGGCGTTACTACTGCTGGAGACACTGAAGTTTACTGTTTTCGAGATGCCAGGTCCAGCCGAGTCTAAGCCTAACGCAGGAAAATTTTCGTCCGTTACAGCGAGCGGTTGATTCCTCACAGTGCTGCGAATGGTCACGTTCCCTCTGCTCTTGGTCTGAGTCAGGGTAGGAACGACAGGAGTAGCGGCATTGCCACCTAACGTGGGAAATTCATCGGTACTTTGCACATCCACGGAAGGTTGTCTCGTGAAGGTAGGTTCGTTGTTGGATACAAACGAATTGGACCCGCTTGGTACCGAGGTTTGTTGATAATCCCTTGAACTATAGTCTCTACCATTGTAATCTCTTGTGTTTCTCGATGTGGACGCGCCCAGCATGTTTCTTCTATTCATTCGATTTTCACCGCGTGGCGCTAGAGTAAACTCCAGCTCTAATGTTCTCGCCTGTTTAGCGGCGGCTTTACTCAACTGCTTACCGTGAACGCTGGCCTTATGCGCCTTAAGATCTATATCGGTTCGGAAAACACTCGTAAATTTCTCTTCCGCGCACACTCCCTCCTCGCACAGATAGTGCTCTTGCCGAAAATGATCTCTGAGATAATCGTACGAGCTATAATACTGATGCAAGCCATCCGCATCGCAGAAATGACAGTACAAGTGATCGCGTCTCAAATGCCGATACAGTTCATCGTTGTCCATGTAACGCTGATCACAAAACTCGCAGAGCGGATGACCTTTATGACTCTTATCATCAACATCACCTTTTCTTCGATGCGTGGCTAAATTCGATCTCGTGTAACAACGCCTTTCATGTGAAAATATCTGCAGATAAAAAGAAATTATAAGTATGATGCATGTATATTATTTATTTTTATTATTATCCATTAATCTTTGCTTTTCGGCTTAGGATAGACTTTCTGTTCAATACATCAATCTTTACAATAGAAATACTTATGTTTATACGCATTTTATGTTATCATGCGGTTAATCTATAAACTCTATACTAAACAGCTTTTAATCTTTTGTATCTTTTAACTCTTAATTCTTTAAAATCTTGAAATCATGAAACTTTAACTTTTCTTTAACTTTTAACTTTTAAAATCTTCAAAATTTTTTAATCTTTAAATTTTATTTTATTTTTTTTAATTTTTAGAACGTAAAACTAAAACTATAAAACATAAAAACATAAAAACTTGAAAACTCAAAAGCTCTACAATTTAAAATCTTGCAAATTAAACACTTATATGATGGATGTATACATATATATATAATTTCAGTCGCTTATTAGTAAAAAATACAATAGCATCTTACCTTTAAGTTTTCTACACATAGATCACAATAATGCAGCTCGTGTCGTTGTCGCATATGATCTTTCAAACTGTTGAAACTGCTAAATACTAGCTTCTCCTTACAAATGGAACAAGTATTGGCTAATAATTCGGTGAACTTTTCTTGGATATCAAGACTAGTGAAGTAAATGTCGTATCGAGTATCTAGCAAGTTTGTCATAGTCAAACTATTAAAGGGTTTGATCTCTTGCGTGAACACAACCTTTGGTAGATCCTGCCGGCAAATAGGACACTCGTTTTGGCGACAGAGCACCCTCATCCTGGTGCTGCATTCGAAACACACAGGGTGCTCGCACATGCCAATGCTATAGATGTCAACATTCTTGTAGCACACCACACAGGTATTACTATTCAAACTATCATTATTCCCAGACATCCTGGCTACAAGAATCAAGGCTCTCCAAGTGTTCTGTTTACTCTCGCAGGAATATATCCTACTGTTTGAACTCTCGCCGCAGTGTCAACAAATAAAAGCTCCTCTATGCCAATAAATATTCTTTGTTCCGATATCAGTCAGCAACAAGGACAGGACACTGGCTCCTAAAAACAAAACACAAGATGTGAGACGAAAGAGAGAGAGAGAAGAGGAAACTAAGGTAAAAGAGAGAAGCGAAGAGGTACTCTAATGCAACCGCAAATCGCTCGCACGTTTGAACGCGGTAATCGTACGTCACGCGACGCAATCCTCGAAAATATCCGAAGATCGTGGGGAAAACTGGCGTGAGATTCCTTCGGCGATTCGTCGGCGCGCGACCGGACACGATTCTCCGAAAATAGACGACGGCTCGCTAACTCGTCGGACGCGAAATTGGCAGCGGTTTGAGCAGATGGCAGAGATTCTCGACGGCGGTCGAGGGAGGTTATCGAAATCGCACGGAAATTCAGCGGAAATTCATTTTTTTTTTTTTCGATCGCGCGAACCCAACCGAGAGGAAGAGGGGGAGGGAAAGCGACAGAGAAAGAGAGAGAGAGAGATAGAAAGAGAGCGATGATCGACCTCGTCGAGAAAGCGTCGATCGTAGGACGTTTCTACCTTACGGCTGTCCACCGTCCACTTGTCCGCGGTACGTCACCTCCCTCCGCGCCGCCTCGACGGCGGCACCAGCTCGGAAACGGGGATTATCAACTCGCGCGGAACCCGGAAACGCGCGTATGTCACCTGCGTACGCGCACGCGTTCGTATTTTTCGGTCGCGTCACGCGGCAGCGACGAGCAGTTCGTACCGATCGGCGATATCGGCTGCGGTCGTCGGAAGATACGTCACGTATGCGAGGGATCCCTCGTCACACGCTGCCGACTCCGTAACTGTGGGCTCTGCGGAAAAAAAGAAAAGAAAAACAAATGACAGACCGCGATCACCTAACGTGGATTCGGAATGCTCCGACGTGGATATTATTGCGCTCTCGAGGCTTGGGACACGTTGTCGATCTCGCTTTTTACCGACTGTCGCGTATCTCGAGATTCGCCGGCTTGCGCGAATTTTTCGAATGACGGGCGTTGACAGATGGGATGAGAGTCTTTTCATGGGAAGTGACAACTCGTCCGGCAAATTCGAACGTGATTTTTTTTTTTTTTTTTTTTTTTTTTTCCCCGTAAACACGTGACGTTATCGTAAGAGTCATTGTAGTGTAATGAAGCGCCATCTGTCATGGTATAAATATGTATAATTGGTTATATCATAATCGCTTTATATCCGGTTCTATATCGATTAGAGTTAACCCTGATGACTCGCGAGTTTCTCTTCTTGTTCGTGTTACCCGAGACGTTGTAAAATTGGGCTTTCTTTCGGCTAGAAATTTTTTGGGCGCAATCTTTTTTTCGAACGTAAAGAGGTATCATGAGAAAATTTTTGAATTACATTTAAGGATGTTTTGTACCTATTTTCAAAGTATTGAGAATTTAAGAAAAATTGTACAGAATGTCCTTACATATGTTTAGAATCTTCAGTACAATTTTTAAATCGATTCACTAAAGCGTTCACAAGTTAAGAATTTTAATTTCCACCGAATTAACATGTGTTCTTATGGGAAACGTCGATTCAAATGACAAAAACACATGGAAATAATATTCAGAATTTGTTGAAAATTTGCAAAAGTTTAGATACAGAGGAAATATGTGGTCAAATAATATTATGCAAGTACTGACTGATTAAAAAGATATTAAATATAATTCAATGAAGTTAGCCATGTATCTGTCACAAGGCGAAATCCTCTGCCAAAAGTTAATCATTTCGATTAACAAAATTCGGAATATTTCAGTAAAAACGCAACAATTCCACACAATTTCTTACTCAAAATACACCAAAAGTGGATATTCGTCAATATTAATTTTCAGCTACTTTTTGCTGGGATTGTACATACAAAACATCCTTAACTAAAAAGGAAAACTCGTTCTTTAACTTTAAGTAAATTTTGCTCCAATATTATTTTACTTTTTACTCCAGATTTTTATATCACGCAAAGATATATTTAATATTGACAACATTCAATGTATTCTACGAAATCTGTTACTAATCATTAAGGACCGAAATTTTCTCGATGCAAAATTAAATAGTAACGATAGAATTAGCAGAGTTCCAGTCGTGCGAAAAAAACAAAGAATGCCGCAACTTCCGCTGTGTGAATTGATATTCGATTTTAATGGGGAGAAATTATGTAACGAATCGAACTACTTTTGCACATTCACGGCTGTCGAATTGATATCCTTGCGGCGATCATAATCACCGCAGTTTTACATACATAATGAGCAGGATGACGTAAGCAATTCCGTCGAAGGCGATACGCGTATACGCCGAAGGAGTCCTTTAATACGAACCGAGAAAATGCACAAACAATTATTTCATAATTCAAGGCAGTCCTCTTTTGGTTTTTGCTCGCCGCGAACCGCGCTGACCGCGGAGCTATTAATCGGGAGCGTGGTATCGTGTCGCCGCGACACGTGCTTTGACAGGTACGACGTGGAGAAGAGAGTGACTGTGACGTAACGAGGTGAGCGTGCACCTATGGCAACTTGGCCCATTAATCCTGCACCAGTGACGTTGTTTACAATATATATGACTGATAACTGTGGATGATCGCTTAATCTCTTTTGTACAAGATTATCAACGAGGTTTATATAACGAGGTTTTTATACAAGCATGTCATATAAATGGATGAATTCATTAAGTTTTTTCTTCTTCCTTTAAATTTTCCCTAATCAATTTGCATCATTACCGAAAAAAAGTAACATTATAAATCAAAGGTAAAAAAGTAACATAAATAACATGGTTCACGTAATCCGGCGCGAATTTTTTCTCCGTTAATGTTGATGTAATTTTTTACTTGTTGAAAAAATTTCTATTTTTGTAGCAATCTTTGAAAATTACTTATTAGCTGTTTTTTTCTATCATCACAATGGCTTTGATAAATTCATATCTTTATATTGTATATCTCATCGAAGGATCTTGCGCGATATATCTGATAATACAGCCAATTCGTCTTAATTCTGCGATAACAAAATACCTCTCTTATGCGAAGGCTTTATTTTTCTAAATGTATTATATTTTGTGACTTTTCATCATAGCAACTCCTTGTGTTTAATCAACACATTTGTCTGCGCCGAAAAGCAGCGATACTACTTGTCGTGATAACGTATGATTTATTAAACGATGCGAGCCTTGCAAGAAATGCCATCTGCGTCGAACGAGTAAAGAATAATATAAATAATTTAATACATATGATGAAGTAAAAAGGGAGAGAGCTTATAATTAAAAAATTCCAATTATAAGAACCACACCATTTATTTTAATTTATTTGAAATTACTCGCAAATGACATTAAGGATGTTTTGTATGTACAATCCCCCAGCAAAAAGTAGTCGAAAATCAAAATTGACGAATATATCCACTTTGGTGTATTTTGAGTAAAAAATTATGTGGAATAATACAATTTGATTTTAGCTACAGTGCAGAGATGTATTTTTTAATATTTATTGCGTTTTTACTGAAATATTCCGAATTTTGTTAATCGAAATGATTAACTTTTGGCAGGAAATTTCGCTTTGTGACAGATACATGGCTAACTTCCTTGAATTATATTTAATATCTTTTTAACCAGTTAGTATAATACTATTTGAACAAATGTTTCCTCTGTATCTAAACTTTTGCAAATTTTCAACAAATTCTGAATATTATTTCCATGTGTTTTTGTCATTTAAATCGACGTTTCCCATAAGAACACATGTTAATTCGGTGCAAATTAATTGTGAACGCTTTTGTGAATCGATTTAAAAATTGTACTGAAGATTCTAAACATATGTAAGGACACTGTACAATTTTCATTAAATTCTTAATATTTTGAAAATAAGTACAAAACATCCTTAACTTTTGGCAGAGAATTTCGCCTTGTGACAGATACATGGCTAACTTCCTTGAATTATATTTAATATCTTTTTAACCAGTTAGTATAATATTATTTGAACAAATATTTCCTCTGTATCTAAACTTTTGCAAATTTTAAACAAATTCCGAATATTATTTCCATGTGTTTTTGTCATTTGAATCGACATTTCCCATAAGAACACATGTTAATTCGGTACAAATTAAAATCCTTATAATTTGTGAACGCTTTAGTGAATCGATTTAAAAATTGTCCTGAAGACTCTAAACATATGTAAGGACATTATGTACAATTTTCCTTAAATTCTCAATATTTTGAAAATAGATACAAAACATCCTTAATGCCCTACTGACAGATTATCGCGCGCATCTCGAGCAGCTCGAACCTGCGGAAGAGGCAGCTTATCATCGGAAAATGCCTCGATTATCGCCTCGAGGAGAATCTCGATCCGCGGAAACGATCTCGCGCCGCAATCGTGTCCCCGTTGAACGTCGCCGTCGGCGTCGTGCACGTGTATACTTATATATATATATATATATATATATATATATATATATATATATCTGAAAAAAACGCTGCGTGGCGCGCGCAACATGAGGAGCGCGCGAGGCGCTATCGCAGCTCGCAGTAGAGCGAACGCTTTCCGTCGGGGCGGACTTTGAGCGTTCGTGGTCGCGCGTCGCAGAGGAGAGCGCATGCGCGAGTGTTGGTTTCGTTCTCGACTCGGCGCGGGGAAAGTTGGAATCGAAAGCGGGCAAGAGGGACGAAAAACGCGCGACGACAACAAGCAGAAAGAAAGGAAAAAGCGGAAGGAAAAGGCGCGGAGGGATCTCGGATCCGGTTTATGGGAGATTCGTCGGCGTCGCGAACGCGCATGCGCGCATCGCCGACGCGTAACAGGTGTCATTCGCGCCGGGCGCCGTCGTTGACAGGCGGCGCGTGGCCACCGACGGAGAGGCGTCGCGATCGCCGCCGCGCCGGGCGGCTGTCAATCAGGTTAGGCTTGTCAATCAGGTTAGCCCGCGCGCCCGCTCGTTTTTCGACGACAACGTGGAGACGTCGCGATAGATCGACCGTCGGCGTTCTTGCGATAGCGGGGGCGAGTGTACAGGGTGTATTGTAAGTACCCCGATCATTTAGGACAAGTGTCCATAGGCCTATTGGCCGACTCGAGATTGGACTTATTTTTGGCTCGAATTCAAGTTTGCGTACATCACGAATATGCGAGTTTCCAGATCGAATTACTGCTGTTTAAAATTTTCACTACAATTTTTATTTTCACCCTTATTTTTGTCCTTCAAAAATATTCCGGTCAGGATTTCTTGGAACAGTAACTCTATCGTAAACTTTATTTTAAATAAAAAATAAAGTTCAATCTTGGGAAAATTTTGATTTAATTATCCATGTTCTTCGAGATTTTTTTTTGTCCAATTCTGCGCGATTTGTCGAAAGACAAATTATATGGTGAAAAAGATTAATTAAATTCTTAGATTGTTGCAGCATCAAGTTATTTATTATCCGTTTCAAAATATGTATTTCCGCTAAAAACTGTCAACTCGCTTTTGTAATCGTGGACGCATTCATCTCGATTGTCAAGTTTCTAAAGTCGTCTAGACAAAACGCTATTCAGACTCATACATACACATGATTATATTTAATCTTCTTTACATGACCCGAATTGCGACAATAGAAACGTGCGATTGTCCGATGATTTTTAAAACAAGTTGATTTCTCTGCACAAGCGTCATGATACTTTATATATTAAGAGTTTGAAACGACAAAAATCAGAGGAATATCGCAAATTTTAACTAGATATATTAATAAATATTAAACATCCAAAAATCAATATCTAAAATTATAATAATATTAAATTAAAATTATAATTATATTTGCTATTTTTTATATTTGCTATTAAGATTTCTACTCCTTCATTTATCAAATTATGACATCAAAAACTAGAGAACGTTTTTCTTTTTTTTGCAAAATATATCAAAATAAATTTATTCATACGACCTTTCATAATAAATTGCTAAAATATACGAAGGTTCTTTTCGTAGATTAAGTAATAGCAAATCTTGATTAATTGTCATCAACATCTTAATTATAAAAATACATAACAGAAAGAAGAAAAAGATTAAATTACACGTATATGAATTTAACGCAGTAAAATAATAGTTGAATCCAAGATATGTATTGTTTCTTGAAATGTTTTTTTCAGCCTGGAATATTTTAGGAACGTTACGTGCATTGCATCTGATCTCAGAATAGTCAGATGTTACGTATTTCGTTAGGAAACTTTACAAAACTTTCTAGATGAATCGCAAGTTCATCCCTATTTATAGCTCGACTATTTCGGATGTTTTAATTTTAACTTGTTTAGATCGCGCCCTCTCTCTTTCTCAGTTACTATTCTGTTTATACTCGTTACAAGAAAAGAGACAGAGAGAAATAGAGAAGCATAGTCTTATTCGTGCAACATCAGAATCGTATTCAATGCGTATTGTCGCACTGAGAAAAAGTCTGATTGCATTAATTAGAATTCTGGTAGATGCAACCAGTATGTCTGTTGGAAAATGGACGAACCAGAATTCTTGTAGGAATTACCAGATGAATCTGATTAATTTCTTCCTGTTAAATTTAAAGACTTTCTGGTTAATAATACTAAACTCACCAGCACCAAGTCGTCTAAAATTTTTTCCATCTAATCTTAAAAGTCTGTTTAATATTCTGAATTCCAATCAGATTATCAGATAAATTCAATCCAGATTATTGAATAAATTATTTTAAATTCAGTTTGTTAGAAATTAAACTGATAAACAATGATGCAAGAATGAAATATTATTTAATCACTCGCACTGAGAAAAAAATCTGATTGCATTAATTAGAATTCTGGTAGATTCAACCAGTATGTCTGTTGGAAAATGGACGAACCAGAATTCTTGTAGGAATTACCAGATGAATCTGATTAATTTCTTCCTGTTAAATTTACCAAATTTTCTGGTTAATAATACTAAACTCGCCAGCACCAAGTGGTCTAAAATTTTTTCCATCTAATCTCAAAAGTCTGTTTAATATTCTGAATTCCAACAAGATTATTGGATAAATTCAATCCAGATTATTCAATAAATTATTTTAAATTCAGTTTGTTAGAAATTATACTGATAAACAGTGATGCAAGAAGAGGATGCAGCTCAAACACACACAATCAGAGAGCTAACGTCCTCTTTCTGGCACTACTGCTCGTAAGAAAAAAAAATATACTTTGGATTTAATGTTAATTCTAGTTCTTTATATACATTTCATGGCAAATATTGAATACGAGTTAAGTTAAGAGGCAAGCGAAGAAATTAATGTAACAAGAAATTTTATAAATCCAATCAGAAAATACTAACCAAATCCTTATAGTAAAATCTATCAAACATTCTAATTATAAAAAAATCGAGTCTTATCATGATAACTAGAAATTCTTGTTTGATTTAACCAAAATGCCTTCAATCATATACGTCTTGTTGGTACAATCAAACGATTTTTCTCAGTGCGATTAAAATCATGTTCTAAATTGAAGTCTTATCACGAACGTTCCTTAAATCCCACTCGCCCGAAATCGTAATTAATCTGATGTGCGTGCCGATTAATCGATCTGAGAAGCGCGCGCAAACAGACACAACAGAGACATAAATTTAAATCACGCAACAATTTGCTGCTTCTCACCCTTCCCGCTCGTGATGCCGTTTTCTAATCTCGCCGAAAGCGAAGATTAAATGGCGACCGAGCATAGATAGCGTGGAGCCGTCGCGGTGCGATATTTTCGAAATAAATCGGCGGTCGTTGTTGAAGAAACGATTATCGCGAGAGGTATTTTCCTGCCCCCTCCCTCTCGCTCATTTTTTGACAGTCGCGCGCGAGAGGAGGACGCCTGTTTTCGGGCACGCGCCAGCGGATGCTCCGAGATTTCTCGGCTCGACGACATGATTTCCGACTCGGTATGATTGATCGATTCTTATCACTTCGCAGTTGATGGTGCAACGAGGCGAGCGGGGTCGATCCCGACCTTGACATGGAGGGCCACGACATTCAGGAACTGGCGGTGACCGCTAAGGACAGCGTAATCGTCAGAGGCGGATACCCGGCGCCCTATTCCTCACCGAATGGCGGTGAGTACTTTGACGAATGACACTTTGCACATTAATGCGAAAGATGATACCTGACATTTACGAAATTAGAAATATGTCGAAGAATGTCATGTTTTATTTATCTCTCGCCTCTCCGCGTATGTCATTTACAAATTACGCGAAGCTCTATTTCGAAATTTATGTTATTAAAAATGGATGTATATATATATATACATACGTGTCGCAAGCCTTTTCGTTAAACATTAGCTATCTGTTTACGTACATCTCATGTTTTAATTCCGAAACGAAAATCGCCATCGTTCTCCATCTGCGTTTCGCGCTGGATACGTGCCCAAAATACAGGCTCTTTCGCTCAGCTTTGAAATGAGTATTCGGTGCGCGTTTTGCGCCAGCAATTTGGCAAACTCTCTATGCATCGTCTGGTTACGTCGCCGTAAATAGCTCATTGCGAAGGACGATCTCGGGGGAAAGACGTCGCCGCGACGTGCGTGCGCTTAAAAATCGGGAAGCCGCGCGGAGGAGCGTGCCCGTTACGCAATCGGCCGCAGACACGCACATTTTATCCGACATTCCGCGGACAAAAATTGGCGCGGGATGAACAAGCCCCGCTTGAGATAAGGAGGCTGCGTCGCGGCCGCAGATAACCCGGGGACCCCGGCTGCGCAGCATTAAAATGGCGACCAGTCCGTTAATCGATTACGACGCGTGCGAATCGCCGGCAAAAATATCTTTTCATTATCATTATCGCAAGAGAAAGAAACAGAGAGATCAATGCCGAATCTGATGAGTGAAAATTCAGAATTCATCGTCGAGAATTGATGGGTCCTAAAATGGCGATCGATTGCGAAGGCTGCATAACTTTGGAAAAGAATCAAATCTACTAATCAGATCTTAATAGTCGGTCGATAAAATGATAATGAAATATAATTCTGATAATTCTTGTATTCCAAAATAACGGCCTCTTCTCTTTTTGGGACAGATTCTAGATTAGATGTATGCGATCAGATATTTTTCACAATGGCGACAAATGAGACTCTTTTCGATTGACGTTGCATTCTATATCCCGGCAATGTGAGTTCAAGGCGAATGTTTATCCGCTCGTCAATAGACACGAGTATGTAAAATAAAAAACAAAGTTGTTCGCACAAGGCAATCGCTATTAAGTGTTATTTTGATAATACTCGAGATTATTTCCATGTAAAAGAGGAACAAATTTATGTGTGCGAGATCTCTCGTTTGACGGACAAGTTTTTGCATTATGTTATCACATATATTAATACAGACGATATTAATTTTCTGCGCGCAAATATTGCTCATGAGGGATGACAAAAAATCTCATTATAACTTATTATATCACTCATTATATCTTATATAAATTGTTATTTATACAAGAGATTACAGTATATCTTCTTGATAAATCTTACAGTTTTTCATGAACTTTACGATAGAATAAGTTCGGAAATGAATTTTAGCTTCGAACGAAGTAAGATAAAATTTTATTTCATTCTCGAATTGTATTTTTGTGAGACGATTCTTTTATTATTACTGGCAATAAGCTCCTTGATTGATTAACGGTAATTCATCGAATCGGTCCTCGTTAAAGCACGTGGCATCATCGCGTGGTTATTTCCATGATTCGCAACGGGAGTGAATATCACGTACAAAGAAGTGTGTTTACGTGAGATAACGGCTAAAGAAATGGAGAAATATAGGAGAAACATTCTCCCTCCGCCAATACGTATTTTTCCTAGATCTTTTTTTGAAATAATTATCATAGCGAATGGAGTATTTTAATCATAAATGCTCTTTTTTTTTTCTTGTACCATGTACAGAATTGACTCAGCATTTTCATCCGCGTGAGCTCTAATACAACGGTAGAACCGTTTCGAAACCAGGAGACTGCGCGTTAAATGAGTGTTAAATAAGCACTTATCTTTACGAGAAAAAAAAATTACTTTACCTAAGCATATCCTCGGGTCCGCGAGTTAAACGCCCAAGAACGAAACGCGCCATCTTCGATGGCCATGGATCGATCCTCGGATGGATTTCTCTTGTCGATGAATCGCGACACGTTTTGACTGCATGACAAATCGAAGGTTGTATCCTCGGCGTGTCGTATCGACGACTTATAATAACGTTATACTGCTGCGAAGGGGTCAGCCGATAACCCACAATAACAAGGAAAGAGCTCGGCGGGTTTCCGACCGGTCGTCGAGACAGTGTAACTTCAATATTTGTCGCCCTCTAATCACACCTAACGATGGACAAGAGGAATTGTTCTGATATTTACTCGAGACGATTTTGCGAGCGGAGAGAGTTTCCCTACAGAATACATTTAATTAATCAAGAATTGATGCAAGAAGAAGATTGTACGGTTTCAAAGAAAGCTGGCGATTGTAATGTGCGTATTTCTTATCTGATATTAAAGAAATGATTAGAGTTTCAAGACCATCGGTGTAATTATACGATTACGCGGTCGTGAAAAAATTCTGAATGGTGTCTGGATACATTTATCATTTGTTTGACTTTATACCTTGCGGTTTATGTCACGTCAAGATGGCTATGAAAGAGAACTATTATGAAATAATTTGATATTCTTCAATATGCGTAGTGTCAATTATTTATAATCATTTTTTGCTACAGTGAAGATGAAATCTACTCCGGATATACGACTATTTTTCTCATCGTCTCTTTTTAATATTCTTTTCCTCAATAGAAATGCATTGATTGCATATACATATTAATACATTAAAATGCCATAAAATGTGTTGTTATCAAACCAATATTATACTAATGTGTTAATTTTTACAAAACTCAATTAACTTAATTTACATATTTTAAGTTACATTACAATAGTATTGTCAAGTTAAAAGTAATTGGATAAAAATATTGAAAAAGAGAAATGATTAGTATAATGAATAAGTATACCGAATTGATATAATAAAGTTTATTCAGAAATTTCTTATTATTTTTTATAGTTATTGCAATATAAAATTGTAGTACTTTATGAAATTAATTATTTTGCAGATTTATGTATTGACATAAAAAAGCTCATAAATCATGGATTTTTTCTCTTATTCTTTAATCAGTTGTACAATGTAAAAAAATAACAATTGTATATTTAAATTTATGAAAACTACATTTTTTATCTCCGATATTAAAGATTGATTTTAACGAGGCTGTCTTTGTAATAACATCGTCGATACTATAGGAAATGGAATAATGTTTACGCATGATAAAGATTTGAATTTTATACATCAATACATATATATATGTATATCTTACATATATTGTAAGATATACATATATATATGTATATATATATATATATATATATATATATATATATATCTTACAATTATCTAACAAGACAAACAAATTTGATATCAATAAAAAATATTAATTCTGACGAAAACAATAGTTACACACTATTAAATCTCGTTATTGTTTTCAAAAGTTATTACCTTCACTTTATTAAAGATAAATGTCAGACCTGATAAACACGAGTCGCAATTATCATCAACGTGATTAGACTGTTTTATCATTAGATTATAAATACCTTCTACGTATGTAAAGCTACATATTAAAAGCGTATTATTGATTCTTTTCTCTACATTGCAAAAGATATATACATATATATATATATATATATATATATATATATATATATATATAGAAAAGATTCCTTAAAGAGTATGACGAGGCGGATTATCCGTCAACAGCAATAAACTTTATTATTTGTTTACCGGATTTGTTTACCAAACGCGTGCATATGGAAAAATATCATGAGATAAATCATTTCCGACTTATAAAACTTGAAAGATATTGATAGAAGGATAAATGCAAATCTTTTACGCACTGTGAAAACAGAATAATTATATATATACTTACAACTCGAATAGTATAAACATGTGTTTATTATTGTTGCTAATAAAATATTTATGTAAGATGTGAGAGAGAATGTGGCTTATCAGAAATGTATGTGGTTGTCTGAAACTATCTTTAAACAATTTCTGTGTATTTTTGTATTATTTAAAGAATTTGATTTAAACACACATATATCATCCAATAATTATTTTACAAAAAAATATTATTTATTTTGTTCCTTCAAATACTCTAATGCTTCCGCATTCATGATTATTTCGACATATTAAATTTAAAACAAGAAAGAGATTGAATTGTAAAGAAAATGATTTTTAATATGTATAATATTAAAAATCATTTTCTTTACAATTTTTAATCTCTTTCTTGTTTTAAATTTAATCTGTCAAAATAATCATGAATGCGGAAGTATTAGAGTATTTGAAGGAACAAAATAAGTAATATTTTTTTGTAAGATAATTATTGGCTGATATATGTGGGTTTAAATTAAATCCTTTAAACTTGTTCAATCATAAATTAAAATATGAAACAAATATGCAAGATGAATAACATACAAAATGTTGGAGCGATTATGAAGATTATGATAATATAACTAGTTATAATCATTTATTGTAGAAAATACGTAAATAAGGAAATTAGAAAATGTTTTTCGAACAGTGTTTCCTAATAAATAATATGAATAATTGCGATATTGTTAATACTATTAATATATATTGCTCTAACAATATCTGCTAGAAATAAAATCATACAATATTTATTAATATATAAAGAAATGAAACATTCTATAAGAATATTGTTATAGCTTGCGAGGTGTCATTATTCCCACAATTAATTAACTGCTAAAATCATGTGTATCAACAGAAGTTTCAAATATCCATAAATATTTGAAAAAAATCTGTATAAAATCATATAGATATAATTTCATATAGATTTATCATATAAATTTCAATAACGGTGTTTTTAAAAATAGAGAAATCAGATCTTTATCTCAAAAATATTGTTTTAAATACAAGTCTTGAAGAAATAATTTTTCATGATTACAAATAATTCATAGTAATCCAATATAATTATACTTTATTTGTTAAATATAATCATGTACCTTTACTTTGCTATTAAATATTTATTATTTTTCTCTACTC